ACAATTCTTAATCTTCTCAGCTCATTTTGTTTGAGTCATGGTTCACATCAGGCAATGCTTCATGAGAATAGCAAAATTAACATTGGTGTGTTTTTTTATAGAGCAGGGCAGCTCTAACCAACACCTCAGATCTCGTCTCATTGATTGGATTTCCATTTGGCTGATTCCTGACTCCAATTAGCTTTAGAGAAGTCATTAGCCTAGGGGTTCACATACTTCTTCCACCCTGCACTGTGAATGTTTCCACAGTGTATTCAATAAAAACATAAACATATAATTGTTTATGTGGTATTAGTTTAAGCAGATTGTGTTTGTCTACTGTTGATCAGATCACATTATATGATCCATTAATGCAGAAATCCAGGTAATTCCATGGGGTTCACATACTTTTTTCTGCAATTGTAGACTTTTGGTTAAATTCATCTTCACCTCACAAGGTAGGATCATTCAAGCTTTGTACCAAACATTACCAGACCATATCCCAAAACTTCAAAACTAACTGTTTGCACTGATCATCAATTACAACAATAAACTTTCTATCTATAGATCTTTCTAGTTATGTTCCTATATGACAGTCTAAATGTTTTTCAAAACCTGCCATGGTATAAATCTGGTGGAGACGTACTATAGACCTTTGTTGTATTTTAATTTAAAGCTACTACAATCAGTATTTTTATATTAACTATGGATCATATGGATTCTTGAATGTGAAAGGGGCTGATCATAGTGACAAACCCACAGAGCCTTATCACCTGACTGCAGTTCTTTATGGTATCTTTCAGTTTGTTGTTTTGATTTTCCAGCCCACAACTTGAATGTTTTGGTTCACTCTCGGTGCTTTCATAGTTTTGGTTTCGGTCTCAGCAGGCAGCAGTTTTCAGCTTATTTATTTGTTCTTACTAAAATAGTAAATTTAAAGATAATTGGTCTAAAGTGAGTCAGAATCAGCCCTCCTGTGGTCATTAAAACCATCAAATTCCCAGAATAGAAAGGACAAGCCCTCAGTGTTCTCAGTGACAGCTATACTGCCCTGCAGACAGGTCATCTCTGGTGGGTCTTTAACATTTTATATTCCAACATCCAACATGACATTTCCCATCTTGATAGCTCCCCGTGCATCACTGTGCTCACACCAAGGCTACTCACCAAAAAAGTACAAGGCAGGCTGTTTTCAAATCATCATCCATTTTTAAAGAGCGCAGTTACCCATGGTTAGGTTAGAGTCAACAGTAAGTAAACTGGTAACATATTGAGAAACATGAGTATAGTTGCTATGGTTACCCAACCACACTGGAAAAGTGACAAACTTAGGTATATTCAAAAAGGCACTATACATACGAACTTTATTTTTGAGTATACTGTTGATGTCAAAGCAAAGTACAGCCTGAAACAAAAATCAAAACGAATCGTGCATAGTAGTGAAGCAGCTGTAAGAAGAAAAAACAAACAAACTAAAAAGCACTGTTGCTTTCTTTTTCTGAAGTGAAAATTGCAGATTTCCAAGTCCCAGTTTGAATGATGTCTGTTGCCGCATGTATGGCATCATTACATGTTACATTACCAGCAGGGCATTGCAAAGTGTGCGGCATAAACAGAGCACTAAAATCATTAGTGACGAGTACAGATTGCATATTATTAGTATGTAGTACACACAGCTATATGTCAACCCTTGTCTGTATCAGATTCTTTTTCAACCTCAATGAAAATTGACTAAACTGTTTTTATGCACAGCATATCTGTATTCTTTATCCCTCTTATTTTCATGTACTGTGTCTTTCACAAGGACCTTACAACACATCTTCGTTTATATACTGCACATACAGTCCATAAATAAAATATTCTCATGTAGCCTATACCAGTTTTCACACACACACACACACACACACACACACACACACACATATATAACTGATAACTGATCATTTTCCTACAAGCAACATACTGTGTGTTCAGTGCAGGAATGAACAAATCTTCAACACCAGATCCTCAAGCTGGACTGAGTATACAGGATCATTAGTGACACCAACAACACAAGTGTTTTTTTGCACTAGAGCGCCCCCCACTGGTGACTGAAGGTAATGATATTCAGGTGGCAGCTCAGCCTTGATATTGTGTGTTCCTCACTGGTTAGGAGCAAAAACATGCTGACACAGTTATGTTGATGAGTTCTTAACTTTAGAAAGAAGGCTTATGTGTAGGTTATATAGACTTGTTGAACTAAATGAAACAGACTAATGAAAATTAGAAACCAAGACTGAACTGAGCATTACTTTAAGGCCCCAGTGTATTTCAAAAAAGTGCTTGTTGGATCGTCTAACAACAAACCCCTTTTATGATGGCAGATGCATCTGACAATTTTTCTGTGTTTCTGAAACACTAGTCTGACTATTTCTGCCCCCAGTGGTGGTAACAAAAAATACAGTGTGGCAGACATGGTGGCTTTATAAAATGAACAAAATAGATAGTCAGCTAGACGGAATGATTGTACCCCTAGCTTCTTCAGAAGCTTTCAGCCACATCTCATGGTCTTCCTCAGCAGATGGAATTTGCTCAGTCGTCATGAAAACACATTGACTGTATGTAGTAAAGTTTTTATTTTTTATTTTATTTATCTATTGGGTTTTATGACGACTGTATCTATACTTGCCAAGCATAGTGTAAAAATCCTTTAATTTCATGCTGACCATGTGTCTCTGGATAGAGCTGCTGCTCTGATGCACACCAGCCTTTTTACCCTGATGGTAGCAGTGTGTCAGCAGGCCTGGAATATAGCAAGGTAAAGTCTTATTTTCTGATGAAAATGTGTCTTCTTCTATAATGGAGACTCTTTAGATACACTGACACTAGTTATGACTAATAAAATATGAACAATCAATAAGGATAAATCTATATTTGGGAAATCAAACATGTAGAGAAATGGTGCCGGTAATAATATGGTGATATGTCAGACGTCAGCACATTACAGCTTCACAGTACCAACACTAAGGGTAGAAGGCAGAGCAAGACTTAAACTGACAATAAACTGCTGTGACAGAAGTTGATAATTCTTAGCTCTATACTGCACTGCCCTCCTGTGGTTTGTTTTCTGCACTGCAGCTCTCCTGTAAGATTCTCCATCATGCAACTGCACCACTTTGTAGTGATGAAGATGTCTGCAGCCTGCATATTTTTGCTGTGTACTGCTAAGCATTTTAACACTCACAGATTCACACCTGACAGTTAGTCAGTTCAACCACAGTCACATACTGCTAGTGAGGCCCTTTTCCCAGCAGACATTTGGACTTGTCAGAGTAGGAAAAGCACAGGTGTTACTAATTATACTGACTTTGCACAGTTGAAATTCATAAATGTATTTTACCATTCTGCTGTTTTCAAGCTGGGGTGACAGTTTTTGTTTGGAAATGAATCAAGTGATTCAGGAAAACCAGTGGCAGTATTGTGTCAGTGAATATATGTTCAGTGGAAGCACTGTGTGTTCAGGGCTGTTACTATTGAACACACTGAGGTCATGTTTAGTAACCTGGGGGGCGTTTACATTCTGGTGTGGGGATTGCTGGCACGACTACATTTTGAGGCAATTGAGAATCAACACTTTTCTGTATCTAAATGGCTGATTCCAGTGAATGTATTTTGTATTCACTTTTCCCTCACCAGAATAGGTGTCCTTGCTTTACAGTGGAGGATTAAAAACTGAATTTAGACCCTCATTTTGAGAATTCTGAAGTCAGCTCCTCATGCCACGAACTGAGGACAACCAGCACAAACACAATCTAGACTAATAACTAAATAAATAAATTGTACTGTAATATTATTAAAACAACAAACAATACAAATACAAATAATATGATAATATTATTTGTATTTTTATTGTTAGTCAATGAATTGATTGGTGGAGCCTGATTCGATTCCCAATCTCACAGTCGAATCACCCTTATGAAACGAGAATCATACCATTTTGGTTATATGGGGGTGCTCAATGTATGGTTTTCTCCCAGTAAGTTAAAATACAGCCTACTATGATTTAAATATCAACATGTGAAAATGTGAAAAGAAAGAAGCTTTTAATAAATCTTTTTAAAGTGTGTGAGTAAATCAAAAGTTGTAACCCTAACCCTTAAAGTAGGGGGAGTCAGTGTGCATGTGTGGCGTTGTGTGTGTGTGTGTGTGTGTGTGTGTGTGTGTGTGTGTGTGTGTATGGTATACCAGTCGGCAGACTTGCACAACTGTGCACAAGACTGGTGAATGGCAGGCGAGCAGAGCAGAGAGAAAATGGTCCAGTACAAGTCTCAGTTTAGCTGGAAATGTTCAGTGTAAGTTACAGTGACTAATAAAGAGACACTGCAGCTCTGCAGCTTCTCAAGATTAAAGCGGGGCTACCATCATAATGAACTGACTTCGACCACAACAAAAGCAGACAGGATGAAATACCAAACTCTTGTTTGAAGTGTCTGCTTGGAAGGACACAAAATGCATTCAAAGATCCAAAACTTATTGTGTTCCTCAAGCCAATGAGAACTCAGAATCATTAATTAGACTGCTCTTATTCTAATGCAGCTGTGATGCTTCTGTACCAGATTTTAAATACACATCTGATGGACATGGAATATACCAAAATCAACCAGAAAGGGAAAAACAGAATAAAAAGAACACTTGAATGCTGTAACCCAATGAAATAGGACAGAAATATGCAGATTCCATAATTTCATTAGCAATACCTGAGGAAACAACTTTGTATTCTAATGAGTCGTGAGGCAGCATTTAATAACGGTTAATTTAACTGAGCATTTATGAAGTATATTAGTTTGAAGTATACAGTTTGTTTGTTGTATTTCTTTTCATATTTCTTTCTCAACTTTAATTTGTTTTTTCAATATCACCATAATATGCATCAAACTGTACTGATATTTGTTTTGTGTTTTGTGAATAGGCTAGATTTAATTAACATGATCAAGGTGTGAGCATGTGTGCCTCAGCAAGGTCAGCCAGCAGGGGCGCTGTTGCCACTTCTCCTCCTGGGAACCAAATAAGGAAATGACGTGGTGCCTGAGCAGAGATGGTCCCAAATAGAAAACTGAAATACTGACACCGGGACCGGGTCTGTGAGAGGCAGAGGAGCGGGTGGGATCTGGCGGTGACACAAGACGAGGTTAGTGTTATTATAAAGAGTCGCTTTTTTCTTGTCAAGTTTAGAAATACCAGAAACCAGAAGAGCTGCCGCCGGCTAACTACATTAGCTGGTTGGCTAAAACTACAACATATAACTTTTCACGTGCAGGGCCTTTTTAGCGGCACTTGTAATGAAACTGTGTCGTTATCAGTTTAAAATGAACGTTAAGTGTGGTGGGATACGACAGTCATGTGTAAAGTTTCATGTTGAAATTACAATGGACAGCTTTTTTATTATTAGCTTTAAATGTATTGTTACAAGTTCGTTAAATGCAGCCTCATATTTTAAAGGTCCAGCCCTATTTACGCACTTTAACTTCCCACGTGCAAGCGGTCATGACGTCCCGGTTCCTCGCGTTCTAACATGGTTTTAACCTGCTATAGCTAAGTTATTACTGTTCCTAATATGTCTTTAACTGTGCGTAAAATACATTTAATAGCTTTTCTGTGGTAAAAGAAGGGTCATGTTAACACTGTGGTGTGGGCAGTTGTGTTATTTCATAAGAATTACAATGAATGTGGGTGCTGAAAAGTCCCTCAGTTGTGTGAAGTCAAGTTGGAGACTAACACCAGTGGACCACGCCACTTAATAAGTGTGTATATATATATAATAATAATATATAATATCTTTAAAATGGTACTACACCCGGTAGGACTGTATAACGTGTGTATCCTCCAGCCTCAGTCTCATTCATTCGGCCTGGGCTCCCTGTGATGTTAGAGCCTCAGAGGAAGAGTGAGCCCTGTCCTGGTCACAAGATGAGGGCTGACAGCTGAACTACAGATTTGGCTGCTGCCCACACTGCGTGTGTGTGTGTGTGTGTGTGTGTGTGTGTGTGTGTGTGTTCATCTACATGCAGAGCAGGTGATAGACCCCGGTACACATAACACATTGCTAGACTGGGAAGTTTGATTATACATCCTTTGAGATATGACAGAGGTGACTGAACATGAATGATTAATTAACTGGTCCTATTTGCTTCAGAAAGCTGTTAATGGGTGTATTGTTTTTATTTCTTGTCCTGTGCCCACATACTGGTTGTCTTTTCTGGTTTTTTGGGGGTGTTGTTTGATGTGATCCCCATTGGGGATTAATAAAGCTTTCTAATCTAATCTTAATTACAGAGTTGTGTGGTGCACAACAGGTGGAAGACACCTTTTATGAAAAAAAACAATAACCCAGGAACAAGAAAACACAAAGCACAAGAAGTAAAGACATGTAAAACAAATGAAGGCTTTTAATTGGAATAATAAAAAAGTAATTTTACTAGTCAACAATAGCAAAATGTCTAGGTACGTCTGAGTGCAAAAAAATACAGTTTCAAATTGCTTTTTGAAGAGACAAAACAAAAAGAGTCAGTGTATAAAAATATGTGACACACATTGTAACATGTAACACAACTCACCCACTCCATTGTTGCTATAATATCTGCTGCACAATTTTCACATCACATACAACACCTAGGAACCGTGACCAGTTTAGAGAGTTATAGCATAATGAAAAGGTTGTCTGGTCTGATAAATGCTGGTTCTGACTGCTACACAGTGGTGGTGGACTGGTGGTGGTGACCCTTTAGACCGTTTTCTTGTGAGTGAGTTATGTCATCTGTGGACTGTGACAGGATGGGTGACAAAGCAGTAGATGAGGCAAGCTTCTACTCCAATGCAGAGGACTACTGGAAGGAGGTTCCCCCCACAGTGGACGGCATGCTGGGAGGCTACGGCAGTATCTCCAACATCGATATCAATGGATCCAGGTCTTTCCTGCAGAAGTTCCTCGGTGTAAGAAACTCTTTATAGATGGGAATGACTTACGAACTGACTTTTTAAAGAAAAAAATTTAAAGACTTTAAAGACTCAACTTTGACTTTAACACCAATGACTCATGACGTCTCTTGGACTTGAGCCTGGAATGACAGTAAAGCTCCAAGTTAAAAAAAAGTGTGCAGCAAATTAACTCTTTATTTATATATAATATTCAACTTAGAAACCTCATCCTGTTTAGGTCTTGAAACACAAGTTTAGACTAGATCTTGACTTGGGAATTGTTGGACTTGACCTTAAAAATATACTTAAATAACATTTAAACCCAGTGTGCAGAGACCTTGGATTACATACAATGCAGAATGAATAAACTAGTGTTTGACTGATCTAAGTTTTTTAATGGCCAATATTTAGAGAGCAATATGGCTGATGGCCAATATATAATGCCGATATCAAGACAAAATAAATTCATGTATAACTCCATTATTCTGTGCATAGTACAATCTAATATACATGTTTAGCTGTATTTTTTATAATCATAGAATGAATAGATTTCAGAACCTGACTGGTGTTTAAGGGAGAGTGGGGTACAGTTTGTCAGAAGTGAAGTCATTCACCTTCATCATTCTCTACAGTATATTTAACGCTAGCCAGTAATGGTGTTAGATGAGATCTGCTGTCATTTAGGAGAAACATGTTAACATTTAGAAAAGGCGATGGTGACTTGAGGACATTTAGGACTCCAAACTAACTTTCACCATCTTCCAAAAACTCACAAGGGGGACACATTTTGATTTGAATTCTGAACATTATTATTATTAGTAGTAGCAGTAGTAAGACTTTTATTACATTTGTAATGTTCAGTGGTCTCTGTGCTCTTTCAAAGCATTTGCATCCTGACAGAAGCAGCGTGTGTCACAGCTTTTTTGTGTTTTTGCCGTCGAAGGAAGGGGAGGGGAAGACGGGCAGCGGCTGTGCTCTGGACTGTGGAGCAGGCATTGGGAGGATCACCAAGCGTTTACTGCTTCCTCTTTTCAACACCGTGGACCTGGTGGACGTGACGCAGGAGTTCTTGGACAAAGCCAAGACATACCTGGGAGAAGAGGGCAAGAGAGTGGGGAACTACCTTTGTTGCGGCCTGCAGGACTTTGTACCAGAGAATGGACGCTATGATGTCATCTGGATCCAATGGGTCATTGGTGAGTCTGCGTCCATGGTTGCCATCAGTGAGCAGTGGTTTTCTGTTTAATTAAAATATTAATCGCATTGTTACGCGAACTGTTATTGCGCACTTTTAAATGTACTGCTATATACACAAAAGTGCAATAACGTGGTTTGCAAACGCTTTAAACAAATAAGGTGCTGTTGCCTGCAGTATTCCCTTTATACAGTAGCAATAAAATATTTCTTGTAAATCTCAACTTAACCATTAATGTATGGAGCGGTCGTCTTATGTGCGTGTATTCAGTATTGAACACAGGGTGCAGATGTTGGTTTGGGTTGTTTGAGTTGTTTGATAGGTTGCGTCATTAACAAGCAAGCGGCTCACCTGCTGCCGTAGTTACGGATCGCGGGTGGAAAAATACAGGAAAAAGATGACAGTGTAGTCTGCTGAAGCCTCCCTCCGCTGCTCGTTTGGATGGCTGATTTGCAGGCTGATCAACATCCCACCTCTCCTGTGACCCATTGTTTGACTTTCCAAATAATAATAATTAAAAAAAAAACTGTGTTAAGGTGCCCAGCCCTAAATAATAATTTATATTTGAATAGAAAGATTTTGTGCAGCTCTTACAAATAAAATGGTTATGTAATCGTTGAGACTGTTGGAAAGTGCAACATGTAATTGGCCAGATGCTCCAAACAAAAAGGTGTGTCAGCGTGTCTGTTCTTCTGCAGCCTTGAAGTTAAAAGGACCATCTCCTTGTGTGACAATCTGCAGGGAGGGACTTTCTCCTCTCTGTCACTCTGTTTAGACACAACTCAAAATGTGCAGTAAGTATGTAATTTAAAAAACACAATAACAAACAGAAGAGATACAATTTCTAATAACTATAGAAGGGTTGGAAATGAACACCTGTTGAGACCGGAACCGCGACACTAAAGTCCATGGTCTCGTGTCGTGGATCCAAGAGACAGAACCGCTCTCGGACTGTTGAGCTCTCTGGCGGCGGCGGCGGCGGGCGGGGGTTGTGGTGGTTTATATCGTATTTATATCGTATTATATTGGCAGGAGGTTGTTCTGGGTAATTTTCCACCTTAGTTTAGTGTTTATTTGCTACTTGAATCTGCTACTCTTCTCTTCTCCCCACACTCACTCTCACACATTAGTGAGTGACATCTTCAGTGGTGCGTTCACTCTCGCCCAATGTTGAGAACGTTGATCCCACAAAAGCTGTGATGCTGTGGCACCAGGACTCTGTCTGTCTGGACAACTTCCTGAATCTGTGTATGGTTCGTTCTTTCATTATTTCGTTTCAAAACCAAATCGGGAAAACCAAGTCGTTTTTTGTTTTTTCTGTTTTAACACCAAAACGGATAAATGGAAAAACAGAAAACCAAAAAACAGACATCTGTTTTGTTTTTCTGAAAACAAAGGAGCTGCGTTTTATTCTATCTTTGACCGGTGTTGTATCCCTACAACCTGTTCTCACTCCCCGACTCCTCACATATGGCATAAGCCTGCTTTTTTTCTACACCGAACATCTTTGCTCCTTTTTTTTCCCCCTCAGGACACCTGACAGACGATCACCTTGTGGAGTTTCTGAGACGCTGCCAGAAAGCCCTGCGGCCCAACGGCCTCATCGTCATCAAGGACAATGTGTCGTATGAGGGCGTGGTCCCTGATGAGGTGGACAGCAGCGTCTGCCGCGACCTGGAAATAGTTCACAGTCTCGTGAGCAGAGCGGGCCTCCGAATCGTCCACGAGGAGCAACAAATGAACTTCCCAAAGGAGATCTACCAAGTCCACACACTGGCTCTCAGATAGAGGACCGTTCCCTCCTCCGTGGATAGAACGAGGACAGCCTTATATGTACACAAAGTATTTCTAATGTGGAAATGATGTTTTTCTAGTCAGCGATTTATTATTTGTTTGGAAATGATCTGCAGTGGGAGTGTGTTTGGTAACTACAAGCATCAGTCTTCTGCTCTGTGCTTACTGCTGAGTCATCTTTTCTGGGCTACCCGGCCTTAAGCTACAGTCACATTACACTTGTCTTATAAATATTTGCTCCGTCTCCCATTCAGGATCAACAAAATCTTTGTTCCACTTAGGCTGGTTGGATATGCACAGTCGACTATGATGCACTCATTATTCTAGCACTGCACCCCCACCAGACTACAAACTACAGCATCACTCTTACACTGTTTACAGTTGTCATCACTTTGCCCAATATTTATTTATTACCCAAACTGGAAATATGGCATCACATCACAGACCACACCCTTACCCCAGTGTTTACTGGAAGCATTTCTGAAGCACAGCAACTTCAAGCAGTCTGTTCTTAAGCTGACATGTTTAAATATTGTTTGGAGTTAGAATTTGTGGATGTTATACAGCTTATTGGAAACATGTTTGCAGGTAATTTGTGGTCAATGGGGTAACAGAGACTGTGGCTGTGTTTTTACTCGTTTAAATTGGGGATGTCCCAATCAAGTTTTAGGGTATGTGCTGATACAGAGTCTGATCTGATGCTTCTATTTACCTAAATGTTCATTAAATGTATCTGACGCATTGGAATAACAGCTGAAGCACACCAAATTCAGCCCTCCTTATTTTTCCCAAGTTTCCTGATCCAAATACTGAAGGTCCTGGTTCAAAACTGTTGAGTTTCTAAGCTTAAATTATTGATATGATATAAATGGAAGTTTAACTGAAGACTCCTGAAACTGGCTGCTGGGGAGACCTCTTACTGATGGAACCTTATAAACCATCTTTGGCTAAGTACAGACGCCGGCTTGCAGAGATCCTATAAACCCAAGCACAGATAAGTGTTATTTTGACCTGTTATAACGCTACTTTTGGAATTATCAACAACAACTGCTGAAATGACCTGCCGTCGCTGCCACATGAGATGTATGTAAAAAAAAGTGACGCTCAGCTACAAAAAGAAGCTGCTAACTTAGTATATAAAACACATTGGAATTATAACTCGTACTGGCCAGACGTGCACATCCGCTCGGTCAAAGGTGAACTCCATACTGACCCTTTGAAAAGAGTTGCGACACACTTTGATCTCGCTGTCACGTTGTTCCTGTAGCTCTCAACGGTTCTGACCACTCAAAGCAGCGTTACACCAAGTCACATTCAGCCATTCACACACTTTCAGGCTAAGGTGCCAACTGCTTATCAGAAACATTTATACACATTCCCACAGCCATCTGAAGCAATTTGAGGTTCAGTATCTTACCCAAGGATATTTTGACATGCAGACTTGAGGAGCCGGGGTATCGAACCGCCGATCTTTCGACCCGACCCACCCCACCACCTGAACCACAGCCGCCCCACCAAGCAGGCCTGGAAAGGCATACAAGTGTTCAAAATAGCCGCTGCATTCCTCCACCAGCTGCTTTTGCAGCAAGTCCTTTTTCATGGGCAATACCAGTGCTGAAACCTGGTCAGGGATGCGGTATTAACGCCTCACCCCGCAGCTCAGCACTCATGTCCAGTCTGTTCTCCCACCCATGGTCTTCCACTCCTGATGTTGGTAGTGCTAGATCTGGACTTTGCTGTCCCGACTGCTGTGGCAATCTTGCAGCACTGTGAAGTCTGTTTCAATATAAGCTCTAGAAATTCATCCATAAATGGCCATACATAGCATCATATCTAAAATATCTAGCTATGTATAGCAACATGTCCAAGTGCTTTTTGTCCCCTATAATTGTGCATAAAAGCGACCAAAGTTACTGCATAGTTAACTCGACTCGACTGTAGAGACAAAATAGCACAAAATAGTTTGTATCTAAATACATATTGATTGTAATGTATAAATTCCAAACCAACCTTACACATGTAGGCTAGCCCAACACTTAAATTTCTCCTTCCTCCAATTACAAGTGTTGTGGACATGGGGTGTGTTCGTCATCATTAGGTATCAGGGGTTCATCCCTGGCAATATTTCAACTGCTAGCCAATACCATGTACACGGTCTGGTGCCAAGGAGTCTCCCTAATAACAAAAGTAATAACATCCACTAAATACAATCCATTCGGCAGGGTGTCGGTACATCACTGTTGAGGTTTGTTGTAATTCAGGTGGCAGGTTAGCACAGAGGTTTGAGTGACCACACTTGCAACCACACATCAGGGGAGTATACAGAGGAAACCATGACTTTAGTCTGCAGGGATATCTACAACCTCCTTACAGATGAACTGGACTCTGCCTTACAGGATTCCAGGGAGAGACAAAATGGAAAGATGGAGGTTCTGGGACCTGGAACTACAGTATAGAAGGTGCAATGAGACGGGAGGAGAAAGACAGGGAGAAGGTGCAGTTGGATAAGAGGAGATGGGCGGATGGAAGGGGTTAATTGACCCCCTTTCTCTGGAAACTGAAGTTACCTTTATTCCCCTCATTTGGTCAGCATGTTTACTGTCGGACGTACATGTCTACAATTGTGACTGACAGTCATGGCGTAATGTCTGGATTGTGTCTCATAAGCCACTCTGCAGGCACATTATGAGAGAGAGCAATTCACAAGAACAAAAAAGCCAACTGAAATTGAGGGCTGATGCTGTTCTAACCATATCTGTGCATCACCCTGAGCCCAAGAGGAGGAAGGGCCCTGCAGTAAGAGCCACCCCAGAAACTCCGGTACACGTTCATGCAGTGGCCAGTGACAACAATTATTGTCCCAAAACGAACTTTGGCATCGCTATAATATTTCTGATTTCAATGACTAACCTACACACCCCAACAATGCCATGTCAGCATTTCAGATTGAGGGAGGAAGTGAGGGAAGGTGAGGGAGGAGAGGACAGAGGAGGGGAAGAATTTGATTGAGATGGACAAAACAGGAGCCAATGAGCCAGGAACCACTGTGCAGGGTCCAGATGAGCTAGGAGCCAGTGAGACCTGAGGGAGGTGTTGGAAAAATCACACAAGAAGGCCTGAAATGACGAAGAAAATGAATGCCCCGGCCACACAGGAACTGCAACACCTGTGTTTTATGTGCAGGGAGCACAACACGATGGAAGCCAGTAGTGGCTCACCACTACAGTTGCAGTTCCAATAATGGGGCAAAGTACAAGCTAGTCGTTCTGGAGCAGCTTCCATAGGGCATAATGTGGAAGGCCTTTGGAGTGGAGCGCAACAAAACATCTGCCCCACATCCAGCAAGAGGCTATACTTCATGACAGATGTCCCATAACTTGAAGAGTGCCCTTCAAGACAGACATTTACGATTCCTCCAGATACAGAAGAGAAGGAGAACCTCTTCAATGAAGTTTCAGATGGTCCATTGAAAGATTTGGTGGATTTTCAAGAGTGGGTGGCATTGAACAGTGCTCCAAATTCACCGCGTAAAACCCTTCAGCCCAGCCGTTTCGACAAGATGACCCTGTGGGCCCTGAGAAGAATGTCTTCTGTAAGGCAACAAGTGGTGCTGGTCAGAAATACAACAAACAACAAACCCCCTCTTACCGAACATGGGCATGGCTCCTGGAGCCGGTCGACATCATGTCCTCTCACCACCCAGTCATGGCACTGAGCAGGAATAAGATGGAGGCCATCAAACATCACATTTCTCTTTCCTAGAGATAATGTCAACTCTAACTATAGCCAGTTACATCTAGCTTCACATAAGCGTAATGCAACAAAAACATTTTGCATTAATTCACCTCTATATGATATAGATTCAGTTAATCCAATCATTTTCTTTCACAGGTTATAGAACATCCTTCCTACATACAACTGAGAATTATCATTACTCTTACAAGTTACATTCCGGTGTGACCTGAGGAATCCTTGGAGACACGGTTGAAGTGTTCTTTCTGGTGTTGTGATTGACCTCCTCAGTAGTATGTGCTTGTTGTGTCTCACAGCTGCTGTCTGTAGCTGGCAGCCTCAGCGCTAGGTGATGGTGGTTCCTCATAAGTGTAAACTCTGACTCGTTGACCGGGTATGATAACTGCGTAGGATGTGCAGATGTCACCGTGCCTGTCTTGGTGTTCTTGATCCACACTTTGTCTTCTTGGTCGTAGTTACTCGTGTCCATCCACCTCCTCTCTCTTTCCTTGTGCAGAACTCTCCGCAGGCCTCAGACATGTCTGGCTGCAACTTTGCAGGAAAGGTCAGCAGGGTGGTGTGCAGGCAGCAGCCCATGACCAACTGGGCCGGGCTGTAGCCCCTTGTACAGGCAGGATTTACTGTTCTAAGAACAATCAGAAGGCAAGATGAAAAGGCAAAAGGACCTAACGTGAACCTATGTCTATCTGTCTAGGTGTTATTCAGGCCTGTAGCCACTGATGGAATCCTTCTTCAGACCTACAGATGCCATTCCCTGCATTCCTGATCTCTGAGCTGTTGCTTACATACCAAACCATCCTCCCAGTGGCTCCAATGGCTAATTACACTGCACACATGGTATAGCTCCAGAAAATAGCTCTACATACTTTGAATATTCTGGTTCTGCTCTAAACGCAAACATGCAAGCGTGTGGTAGGGGTCGGCTGCTTTTTGACTGTTTGGACAGCTCGTTCAGCCTCACTGTTGCTTTGTGGGTACCTGGGGCTGCTCGTCACATGCTCCAATCTATAGTCTGCTGCAAAGACATTCATGTCTGCACCTGAGAACTGAGGCCTGTTGTCTGTGACTAATGTCTCTGGTGTGCCATGTCTCACAAACATTTGACTTCAGGTGTCATATAATGTCAGTGCACCTTGTCGGGCTCAGCAGGGCGAATCGAATAGTGGAATCTGTCTGTGTGCAAAAATGGTACCTTGTTTCATAACGGCACGGCAAAGATTCGACTGTGAGATTGGTCGAATCAGTCCACTTCTATCAAAGCATCAAATCTTTGCCTATTCCCGGTGCTTGTTAATATGGAAAGCAGTGATTGACAATGTAGGTTAGTATATTGTACTTACAGGAGGTACCCTGCTACTGTGAGAAGAGAAATTAAGAATCCCTTGCATCTGTAGATCCATTTAGAATTTCCAGTTGGAGAGGAGGTTCAGTTGAAAATGACGCTTCTCCACATAAGGGTTCAGTAAAAGTTTACTGTTCTCTCTGCCCCTCTAGAGCAGAATGTTGATTTTATAACATCTAATGTTAGTTAAACCTATTTCTGTATCTGAACTTTCCTTTTTCATCTGTGGACTTTTTGTCTTTGCTACTTTTAAAATAATAATCTTTATTTGTAGAGCACTTTTCAAAAACAAGTTACAAAGTGCTTAAAAGGAAGTGGATGAAACACTTTTGAAAATATGCTAAGAACAGTTTTACGTTACATACTGCATAGTTGATCCAGTTTGTTTAAAATGAAATTCTGATAATGAAGACTAAATATGTTGGTTTGTATTTATGATTTCAAGTAAAGTCTGTTTAAGCATTAACTAATTTTAGACCTTGAATTAACTTTTTTTTTTTAAACAGATACAAAATTACAAATCAAAGGATTTGGCTCGGGTTTATGGCTGCCCAATATTAAAATGAAATAATTTAATCAATGTCATTGTGTGCACATGATGTATGTAACAATACAAAAAAGTCACAGTCAAAACGTAATATCAAATTTACATTTTCATATCTGACACGCAAAAATAAATTGAAAAGTAAGCAGAGCACTGGCATGATAACTAAAAAACTTTCTTTTTCATTTTTAGGAAAAATTAAATACATTTTTGAGAGAAATCGCAGATACGACAATAAGGCTTGTAAACTCAGTTCCCAGTCTCAGACGTACACTAACTGCAAACTGATCCTCATCAGATTAGCAGCAATTTTCAGTTGACGACAACAAAACAATAACAAAACCTGTCACAGTCAGATTAAGATGGTTTATTATAGCAAGTTTCATACAATCAATCACAATTAAGTCTCACACTGTACTGCTGCATCATTGGTTACAAGTCAACAAGTCAAGTTTACAGCTTCCTCAAGTTAAGATTCACCCACTCCAGCACTTTCAGGTAATAAGAGATCACTGTTATTTTATTTTAACATTTTCATTTTCTACTTGGCAGTCTTAGTAAGCTTATGACACATCCAGACAGTAAGTGCAAACAGGTTTTGTTCAGTACAACTGAAAACATGTCTGTAATTGTATGTAAAATTGGAAAGATCTGTTATAACACTATATACAATCCATTGCAAGTGGGTTGTCCATTGCAAGTGGGTTGTTTTATAACAATTTATCCTCATTTGCTGCTTTAACACATCATCCAGTAAAAATGTATTTCTTACTGAGGTGAAAAAACATTTGTAAGTTCAATTCTCCAGTCAGGGTGGGGTTATCTTAGGCCACCAAAGCTAGTGGAAAGCAAATTCACTAATTCTCTAGGCTTGCTCAGGTTTATGGAGAGGCTACTCAAAATTCAACTGCAAGCTTAAGAAAATGTATAGTTTATAATATATTATTATAGAAAATGTTTTCTTAGCTGATGTTGTGTCCTGCTTCACCTCAGGAACCTCTTTATGCCTCCACCAAAAGAAGCTCCAACGGCGTATTGTAAAGGTCTAATTTGTCCTGGGCCTTCCAACCTACTGCTTATAAAGTTTTCACCTCCGCTTGCATTTTTGCACGTTATTAGTGCTTCTCTGCTGCTTCATTCATAAGCACACATTTAATGACAACAGTCTCACTTAGTGAGGCACTACTGGCTTTTAGAAAGGCCCCATTGAACACATTAATGGATCTTAGAGTCAAATAGATTTTAGGTTGCAGTCCAAACATTAACAAGAGAGTGCAGTTTTTAACGTGAGATTTTCTTTCAGTTTCTAGAATGGCTCCATTAATATAAATGGATAGTGTGCAGTGAATCATGTGAACACATGTAGACTGAGCTTTGTTAGCAAAACAGATTTCAACATGTTAAACAGGAAGCTTGCTGGGGTTTGGTAGAGTGGGAGAGAAGTATAACTATGACTGACAGTTTTTACTGATCGTCAGTTCCATAGTGCAAAATGTAATGTTGTACTTTAGCCATGACCTAAAGTATGTTGCTGTTGTATGTAACAACATAATCTCAGCTCAAAGGTTCACTTACTACTACTGGCTTTTTGACATGGTTACAGGTGGTCGTCTAGACAGTCCCAAAGTACACATTACCTCTGCGTTGGTGACCCTGCTGCACTGCTGGACTGGTCCCATTCACATGAATGAGAGGGCTGCATTTTTTCAAACAGGGCTAGAGTCACAGTCTTACAGGCTGTGATGTTAACTGCAGCACCACAATACAACCTACTGTTGACCTAAGGGTCATGTGATGACACCTGCGCCTGCTTCATTTGCATAATAAATACTGAGAGGTGGTTAAAAGATCCAAAAATGTAGTAAGTGGACCTTTTGAGCATTAGTTTGTCACATATGCTATTTCAAAAGGTCAGGAATGAACTTTTACGCTCGAACATGCTGATGTTGATTGATGGATGAAACCACTTTGATTCCACTTTGAGGTCAACATGGCTGCAGCAGCTAAATGTGAACTCTGAAGAGTAGCGGGTTGTGGTCATGTGATCAGGACCAGGTCTCACTCTGAAGTCGGCCAGACCTCTCCAGGGCTGCCAGCACCTGCTCAGCATCCTCGGCGGACATGCCACCCTCCTGCTGGAACACCTCTTTCAGAGCGTCACACACGCTGGCTGGCATCTGTTTAGCATTGCTGCATAGAAAAAACAAGATCAGAACTGCATATTCACAGCATCAATAAAAGGGACAGGAAAAACACACGGCATAATGAAAACACAGATGATCTCATGATTAGACCCAGGTGGGTGCTACACATTGGTTGAGGTGAGCCCCCCCCCACGGTGAACCGCTTTGAGTTTCCATGATTAATGTATGACTGTATGTTTGGAGGATGTTGATGTTCATATGGGCAGCTGACAGATTTGGAAAAATTGTGACGCTTTCCTAAATACCCAGATGTGAACAAAGGAGACGTTGAGTATTGGTGCCTTGGACTCACCCAGCGATGTAAAAGTAGCCACTTTTATTGGCAATCAGGTCCCACAGGAGCTCAGCGTTCTCCCTCACACGGTGCTGCACATACACCTTTTCCTCCTGAAACATTTCATTATGAGCCACAAAGCACACAGGAGACACACACAGGAGACACACACAGCCACAGTTCCAGTGCTGCCAGGGGCAGCTAGCTATGCTCAATGCATATTCACAGTCAATCCTGGGTTCTATAGGAAAGGTTGAAAAGTTTGGGCTTTACTCTGAGCTGAAAACTGTCAAATCATCTGCCATTTTTCTCTTCTTATACTATATGAGACTATGTGACATTTTGGGCATACTCTCTCTATGTTTAAAAAAGAATGACTAAAATACAGTACATTTAGCCATCCACTAATTTAAAGAAAGAGGGAAATGTGGTTTGCAAACTTCCTTCTTATACCTGGAACAGTGGTAATGAAATGGCCCTTTTAAAGACGTCTGCCTATGGTCTGAAAGCAGGTAACACTAATTAAATGTTTGACATTAGAATAATCTGATGCTATAGTCATCATCATTTGTAGTTCTATGGTATTTCTTGTGTTGCCTTTAAGTCAGTGAGTTGAGTGTGTGTGACCTGGTCTCGTGAGAAGGCAGTGAAGAGGGTCAGATGTCCAGCCTTCGTCATCTCCGCCCACTCTGAACTGAAGTAGAAGTCTTTGGATTCCGAGCGACAGCCGAAGAACAAGACGTTGGCTAAACAGCAGGCAGACAAGGAGGAGGCGTGTCATGTCGAATTGTGAAAGGATGTGAAGTCAAAGTCAGAGAGGTGAAGATCTCACCGGTTTTTCCCTCAGCAATCCTCTCTTGTAAAGCCGACCTGAAGGGCGCCACTCCTGTTCCAGGTCCAACCATTATCACAGGGGTGTCCTTCTCTTTAGGGAACTTCAGACTTCCCTTCTTCACCCACAGAGGCACATACACCTCCCCTGCAAAACAATAAAAGGTCACATGGCTTTAATGTAACAGCTATGAGAGGGTGTGCTGTGCAGAAGTGTGTACAGTATTGCTTTTAGTATTTGTGTTAAAAGGAGAAAGTGAGTGATGACATGACTGGTGTACGGATGGAATTAGTGCTGTGGAAATGTAGATTATAGATAACGTGAGCAATAACATAAAAGTGCTTTTACCTAAACTTTATTAGCGAGCAGCCTTCAGTAGTTTAAAACTGTTGCCGTTTGTGGTCATATTTTATTTTTGTTAATTCCAGAATCATATCTATAATGTGAATTCTGTTTGTACCCATGAGAACATTCTGAATACTGAATGCCTCTATAGTTCTCTATAAGCACTCTTATATGAGTGGTTTTTACACGAAGCCCAATATTTCAACTGGGAAAAGCTGTACGCTACTAACAGACAAAAGGAACACAACACATGTATGTCTAACACACAACCTCCAGTCAATCAGAAGTAAATCATCTATGTGGTTGTGATACAAGCACTTGGTAAGCGTGGTGAGAGACCTTGTGCAGGGTCCAGAGAGGCTAACCAGGTGGAGCAGAGGCCTCTTCGTGGTTTATACAGTTTGGTTTTGTAACGCACCACAGCTAGCAGGATTTGAAGCCTGTGAGGGTGAGCCTGTGGGGAGAGATAGGGAGAGAGTGAAGGCATTTCTAGAGTCAAGATTTCACTGTGATTCCTCCTGAATCTGTCTTTATGCCTCACTTTATTTCATTTACAGCTTTGATTAAGGCATCCAGCTGAAACACATACATTGTATTATATTTTATCCTAGCAGTTAAATAGCAATCATGAAGGATGAGCTACCTGAAGAGAGGAGGCAATGGAGAATGAGCGAGGCTGGATCTCAGGGAACAGATCTAGGAGATAGTCTACTTTGAGTTCGGCTGTAGTATGGGGGAAATCTGCCAGGACCTGCAGCAGCAAGAGCACAACACTCAATAAGCAAATCAAAGAAAGGGTTTATATACTAAAAGCCTGAAGTATTTCAGGATGTCTTTGGCTGGACTGTATCGTTATTAGCAGCCTCATTGTTTTTTTACACTTTTAAAAGATGCTATAATGACATTCTAAAAATAATAAAATACACACCTCCAGCGCGGTGCGTCGGGGCCGGTTGCAGTAGCTGTGCAGCTCGTCCTGGCCTGCTGCCGAGCTGAACTCTGCCAGCTTCTCCCGCTCCAGCTCGTTGGTGGCAAAGGTAGACAGCAGCTCAAAGAAGGAGCGGCGAGGCACAGCGGCAATGTCCAGGTAGCTCTCCACCAGGTGGCGCACAGAGCAGGGCTGAGGAAGCCTGGCTGGAACTGAGGAAACAAAGGTTCATTCAAAGCTGCACTAAGGAGTAGTTTTATATTAACAGTGGATCAAATGACTGTAACGTGGAAGCGGTCACTTGTAGTGACAGACCCTGCAGTCCCCTTTGGCCTCTTTCAGCACACTGTTTTGGTTTTATGAACATTTTTAGTGGTTGGTTGAGTCTCACCACACTTGAAAAAGCTCTGATAAACCCAGTGTACACTCCCTGACCAGCAAGCAGCAGGCAAGGTTATCAGCTAGCTGGTGAACGTTAGCTGGTGAACGTAGTGGAGCATTTAGCTGCATAAGAGCCAGATATTTGTCGCAGGTTTGGTGGGCGGTTAAAAACACAAACTATCGAATGTGGATTCATCAGGTGTACACAAAGTTGATGTTGGCTTGGACTGGTAGAAGCTAAAAAAAAAGACTAGTTATCGGACAGTTTGCTGGGCGACAACAGACAGGCTTAAAGGCTGTGATTAGTCCAGGGTTCCCCCTCTTGTCTAGAGAGCATTTTCCAGAATTTATGCAGGACATTTTCAATAATGATCCAGCTGGTGTGAGAGACAGGGATCACACGTCATCCACTAACACTCTCTGCAAAAGTCTGATTTTAAAGACGTGCAGTCTTTGGCTAAAACGTCTCTATGAAATCATCTCTTACATGCACAGACATTATGACAAATTGATCTTGCAGGTGACATGCAGCAAAAGGGGCTGCCCAGGCTGGAATCGAACCAGGAGTCGCTGCGATAAGGACTTTAGCTTTTGTATATTGTGCACATGCTCTAACAGGTGATCTAACTGACGCTTTGTTTCTTTTGGAAAGTCCTTTGTGTTCTTTGCTTGGCAAGTGTTTCTCTCAAGATTTATATTTGCTGCCTGAACACCAATAAGTGAACAGCCTAACACAAATAATAGCCTACAATTTTGCCTAATTACAAATCCCAACATGACTTGGGGGTTGTTCACAACGCTGCTGCAACATAAAAGAGCAACTGCAACATAAAGTTGAAATAATTTTCCAGGACATTTTACTTTTTCTCTCATTTTCCATGTGTTTTCATTGACTGGAAAACTGGTTTGGGTGGGAGCCCTGTATAATTCCAATGTTGGGAAAAGGGAAATTATGACATAAAAGGTGACTTTGAAAAGAGTCAAGAAATAAAAGCATCACTGGAAAAGATTTTGGAAATAAATGATTATGAAATAATGAGTTTCAATTCTTATTGACTGAATAATTTTACAGTCTATTGGTTCTTTTATACATTCTACACAATGTGATATAATGATTTCATAATGTCTTATTTATTTTATATTGACACTTATATTGAAGGTTAGTTTACTATTTTGTCACTACTGGAAATGAAATATACTTGCACGTCTTAAGCCATAGTCACACCCACCCACCCACACACCCACCTGCAGTGTCGTTAGTGGCCCTGAGAGTGAACCTTGCCTCTGGATCTAATCTCAGCAGTTGACAGAATTGCTGTACGTCCTCTGGAGCGTTACAAGGATGCATCATCACCACGTCACCAGCAGCAAACCTACACAGCAAAACCACAGCTAATGGTGGATCAAGTTCAAGACGGCACACCACTTTCATCAGGAGAAAGAAAATTCAACAATAGTTTGTTTGTTACCCACATCTATATTTTCAGACTGAAAAATGAAAATGTCCCTCATCTGAAGAAATCCCACAGCGCACATTTCTCTTATTACAGCTTCCTGGTGACGTTCAGACCTGAGTGTATCCCGCTGTTTATCACAGTACAGCACAACTCCAGTCCATTTGGTGGCAGTGCTATGTCTATAAACTTGTTTTGGGGCCGGTAGTAATCAGCAAAAATAAAGAAGTTGAATTCAACATGAATATTGAAAACTGTTATAGCAAATAGTTAGATAGAGTTTGTGAGTTAAAAATGTTATGAGAGCAAGAAGGAGAAGACTGTCTTCTGTTCTTTCTCAGGCATGACAGTGCACAAGCACTGCATGGAAGTTGAATTCCTAATGGCTCACATGCTGTGTGCGTTGCTGAATATGAATTTATTCATCCACACATTTGGAATGAATCGCCCTGGTTGCACGACAATTGTTGGTTGTATCGTTGAAAGTGATACAGAAGTGTTACAGGGTTTTTCAGACAAGAGACTGACATGTTGTCAGATTAACATAAAGGCTCAAGTGACTTACTCAATGTTGGATCCAGTGATATCAAACTCGATGTGCCTCACGTCCTGAAAGTGTGACATGTCTGTTACTCGCCTATTGGACACTAGTCTGGCAGAAAAGGGATGGGATTGGGAGGGGACACTTTTCTCCATGGGAATCCTCAGCCTGTCATCTGTCTTCTCTTTCACATCACCCAGGAAGTGGAAAGTGTATGTTGGAGGGAGCCTGCCACAAGAAACAAGCAAAAAAAAAATCCATCTGACTAGGATTCAAAACAGAATCCAACAGGAAAGAATTGGTGTTTAGAGGAAATATCATCTTTCTATGAAAATATGCAAACACAGAATGAGATACAGTGTCAAATTAAGTGGATACTCACGGTTCATCTTCACTCAGCGGAACCACATCAGCCAAAGATGGGTAAAGAGCATACACTTTCTCCCAAAATGATGTGAGCCACGGATCAGTCACAGCGTCTGACCTGGTTCAAACGGATTTTGAGGTAAGCAAGCGCAAACGACGCCAACACAACATCCACAGCTCCATTCCTACTTGCAAGTCATTCCCTAATTGCCTCCCAGGTTCCCTGTCTCACTTTACTTTGCTGATAAATTGATACATTCTGGAAAGTGTACATTTCCACAGCACTAGTTCCATCAGTTAAACATCAGTCAAGTCAAACTCACCATTTTTCTGCTCTGAGTTCCAGGTACTGTTATAATTTTAAAAAAACTACAATATCTTCCACTTAGTTTTTATTGGTTTTTGTTTCACATGTAAAGCCCTTCAGTGACATTAGGGCATAATCCCTCCCCCTTCTGAAACATATACAGGAAGCGCTGTTTGTGATCGCTGCTGAGCTATTGTCAAAGTGATTGGAATTGTTTGATCAGCATGACAGACTCTGTTGTACTGATGGAATTAGAGCAGTTTATATTGAATTATACTGAATTTACCATGTGAATTCCTTTTCTAGATCTGCATGAAAATACTCAGTGATTATGGTAGTTTATGTGAAATAGGCCACATCTACAAGAATTTGCCAGCCAAATACAGTACGGTGTAGAGAATACAGCATCAAATAAACTAATTAATATGGGATTTATTTTTTTTGGCATATCCAAATATTTTATGAAGCAAATTTAGTTAGCTAAAAAAACACACATTCTGCTTTATGTGACAGTCACAGTAGAGATATACAAGAAAGGCAGGCGAGAGAAAGAAGGGATGACATGCAGCAAAGGGCCTGGGCCAGATTCCAACCCAGGCTGCTGCCTCGAAAGCCAATTATAACTTGCAGTTAAGAAAATGATGTCACTTCATATTATTATTATTAGTAGTAGTATTATAACCAGTGCACAGTCTCTGTATTACTGCTTAAAAAGCTCAGTTAATAGAAAAATAATACGGGGACCAAATCTAACAGTCTTTTTTTCCCCAGAGTCTATGAAGAACCTACACTGCACACTGCACAGGTATACATGGACAGAAATCTGTAAAAGCTTACACATGATGCTGTAGAAAAACATGATAAAATTAACTGAAATGCAAATGCATTCCACTATTTATTTTTTCACCACTGTTAATAAAGTACCCCATGATTTAGCAGCTGCATCAGGCATGCTGCTGTTTCTTACCCCAGGTCATGTTGGTCATCTGCCAGCCCGACAGGCAGCAGCACACTGGCCCCCAGCTGCAGGAGGCGCTTATGAAGCTTCTTAGCCACAAAATTGAACCTGCGTGCAAAAGTGAAAAGATGATTTTATAGAGGCCGGGAGTCACGCTGAATGTGTACTGTGGAAACTGCAAACGTAAAAAAAGGACTGACTTTGGATAGGAGGAGTCCCCCAGGCCCAGTATGGCACAGTCCAGCCGACTCAGAGAGCCAACAGGTAAAGTCTTCCTGAAGAGAAACCTCCAGAAGTTCTTTGAAGAAAGTAGACATGGACAGAAACACATAAGGGAACAGGATCAGACATACAATATACAGACAAACCTAATAGGCAAAACTAAACTATTATCAATATTATTAGATATTTTTAATTCTAAAACTGAAATGTTTGTCTTTAACAGAAATGTCTTTTGTTTGGGTTGTATGTATGTGATGGTTGCCAAAGACACAATTTCACAATAAACTAAAACTAAACATATGCACCCAAGAGAAGTCAATATTCAAGCACACCCATATTCACATGCATCAAATGTGAATGAAGTGATAAAGCATTAATCATCATAGCATTACTGCTATACATTAGAACAGCTTTACAGGGAGAGGTCACCCAAAAACTAAATTAATCAACATACTCTTACAGTATGTCTTTTTATACTCAGTTTTATTACCTTCATATTGTCCGGAGGGTCTCCTTGGCCAGTGGTGGAGCACACAAATACAACCAGAGACTCTGAGATCAGGTTGGCCTGTTTGATGAGTGGAGTAAACACAAGTATTTGTAAGGATGTAAGGATTTTTTTTTTTTTAATGGGTAGAAGGGTAAAGGCTGTCACCCACCATCGCAGAAAACTGAGTTCATCCCTGGATCTGGTGCTGGAATTATAAATGGTCAGGGCCATAATAACTCCTTGATATACTTAATAACACCACACTCACCACATTATAGTTATCCAGAGGCAACACTTGCACCTGAAGCTGCCGTCTCTGCGCCTGCCGTGCAATCCTTTGGGCCACGTCTTGGGCCGTACCAGTCTGGCTCCCAAACAGGATGCGCAGGGTGGGATTTGACATTATGGCTGAGAAAAACAAATTATTGGTTACATCAGAAGAACACTCCAAAAGGAAGAGCAACAAAGCGGGAGCACGAATCCCACACACAGGGCGAGAATGTAGGGGCCAGGCAGATAAATGAATCCTTCGATCTGTCTTATATACACAGAGTGGTGTCTGCAGCGCTACATAAGTCCACAGAGCATATCCACTTACTTCAAACTACTAAAAAAGTGATCTGTTAGTTATAAGGATCAACAAATGCATAGCAGCATATGGCCTGCATTGTGCCGTGTGATATGACTTGTATGCCCATTATTTAACGGTATTTTTGTTATTCTAATATTTCTATACCATTGCAATAGTGTGTTTCTTTACATGAGGTCACTTCATCATCTTGTGATGGAATGATTTTTACTTTCAGACAGTGTAGTGTCTATAGAGTGAACCAGGCCTTATCAATCTGTTCTTAACATGCTCGTTTAAGCACATTAACGTTGTTTCATTTTACTGTGACATCATTTAACCAATTCCTTTGTCCTTTTTTTTTTACAGCAGACAAAAAAAGTAACGTTATAGTTGACCTCCCTATAATAGTAAATATTTACAATAGTTACTTGTACAATAATAAGTTAAATTACATAACTATGACTATGACTAACTCTCTGAAAGTGCAGTTAACCTCCTAGCTTAATCTAGCTACCTCCATACTCTCTACTTTACAGTACATGACTGTGGCTAGCAGCTAGCAGGCTAATTAGCCGGCAAGAAAATATGGTCAATTATCTTTGTTCATATTTATTTTTCTTCACTACAAATCATATAGATCGCCACATACCAGGAGAACAAGACACTTACCACTGCTGTCTAAGTCCACAACAGCCTTAAACGATAATAAAATTGACAAATAACTGCAGTAAGAAAAGCAAGCAGCTCCTCATTCTAAACATTAACGCTACACTTTACGGCAAGCCCGTTTCACGTTGTGATTGGCTCGTGGGTTGATGCTACATTCAGGCTACACAAGGAAAATCAGAGACACTGCTTTTAAAATCGAGTTCTCTGGGCGATTCATATGACCCTAAATCAATAACCTGCATTTATGTACCCAACGGTCTCTACGTGACGCTCACCTGTTCACGTTCTCGCCAGCCTGCTAATGCCTGTCAGCGGGGAGAGAGTAGGGAGAAGATCGGTGCCTTTAGGTGCCTTTAATTCAGACATTTTCAACTTTTCATAAAGTTGCTCTTCAATGTCACTTTTCGTGAACCAACCAATCACAGCCTGGATGGGGCGGGACATTAAAAAAGGTTGACGTGCAACAGCAAACGTTCGAAATGTTGAACTTGATCCCTGAATAAGCTAGATGGTATACTCTTATCTGAAATAATAATGAATAAACTTACATTAGCCCTAATCAAACCTTAACCACAGTGGTGTAATATCAGAAAACGGTTTTATCTGTGAATTTTTGAATCTCAACTAAAAAGCTGTTGAAATGTTATGAATACTAAACTATCTGTAGGCAGACTATCCAAAATAATATAACCTATAAACATATTAATATCATGCTAACATTATACTTTTTATTTAATGTTATAATATTATCTAATGCACTAATTAGTTAATAGCCTAGTTAATAAATAACTAGTTAGTTATCCAGGTTGTGGATAGAGCATCTGCAGTGGATGGATCTGGATTTAAACAGAGCCAGGATGCCAGTGTGCCAATATGTGCTGCTTGTGGCCATTCTCCTCTTAAGAGCCACACATTCCCTTTGTTCTTGTTCCCTTCTTGTTCTGTTTTAATATGAAGCAAAATGATGTAGTGGGGACAAAAGAAAAACAGTGTCTGAGAAGCAAAAGGAAAAAATACCAGGTGCTCACAGATGAATGCAAGGGGCTCTTGGAGTCAAATCAGAGAAAAAGGGATACCCCTAGGCTTACTTCATGCACACTGGGACCGAGCAAAGGGTTCATTAAAATGCTTTTATCTGTTTAGTGTCTAAGTAAAAAATCAAGAAGAATGTAGACTGTAAAAGGAGTAAGCCTGTTTACAAAGAAGGACAGTTAACAATCGGATTCCTCATTAAGACCTGCATACACCAAAGCGTCACATTTAAAAATCCAATAACTCTCTCTAAAGTAATTAATTGAGATAATCGCCACGTCTGATAGGCTGCTCCAAAAACTCAATAACTCACTTTCAAAAGGCTGTCGTTGCTGTTGGAAGTGGTATGCCACAAGGTAATCTTCATTATTGGTTTTTATGGCATATTCGTGTTCTGCCATTATCTTTCAAATGCTGTGCTGTGTAAAAACATTCACATGGGCAGGTGAGGGGGTTTACAACACATGTGGAGTTACAATTAATAAAATGTTTATTTTTATGCATTTCCCTTGTCATGAGAGCTACAAATTCCTTCTGTTGTGTAATGTTGGATCAGAGATTACAAGTATTTTGCGTGCATTTCAAAGTCCCAGTAGGTCTCCTGAGCCAGCGGCCTCCCCTCCTAACTAGAAGACAACTGCAAGTCTGTCCTTTATGGAGGTGGCTCGTTTGTAGAAGAAGGTGGGAAGATATTGGAGTTGTAGAGATAGTGGTCTTTTTGTATTATCTGTCCAAAAAGCGTTTAGTCATACGTTGAGACTGTGTACGGCTGTCAGAGTCCAGGTCGTAGATTTCAATCCATCAAATCATGTGACTACAACATTAAAGAAGAAAAATGTCATCTATGAAAGGCAAGTGTATTCAGGGGTAAAGATTCATCCTCAGCACTGCTCCATTTATCATTGAATATTTATTTCTGTTTACCATTTTTACAATTGCTTCTGTATTAATGTATATTGTCTGCTATGTAGCCGAAGAGTTACAAAACTCAATTACATTATATAACCTGTTATATTGTGACAATAAATGTACCTACAATCATCAATTCATAATTTATACAGCCTGTATAAATTATGACTCATCGCAGGCGGCGAGTGTAGGATGTTCACATGAGAAGAAGTACTGTTCATAGGTGTTAATCCAACCATGTTACTCCCTACATAAGCAAGATGTCAAATCACAGCAGTTGTCCAAATACATTTATAATGACGTAACAACATGGTTCTGTTTAAATACTGTATTTCCAAATGTTGCTGCCTGTGTAGCAGCAGTGCGTCTGTGCAACACAAAGCTTTTATATTGACCACAGGAAAATGGTGAGTACAGGAAAATGACACACATATATTTTATATCACAGTCTGTTGATGTCAGATTTACAGTATATAGAAGTGGAATCTCTTACAACCTACATTTAACAGACTCATATACAACAGGTAAAGATATTTCCTGAAACATGCTAAGATGTCAACGTTAAGAGCACTTGAAGAGTATGATAGCATTAGTGATGGCTACAAACAGGTGATGTGTTGGTAGTACAGAACGTACCATCTATAGCAATTCAAAGAGTGTGATCCAAACTATGTCAGAGACAAATGGAAAAGAAGCTAAAGTGGACTTTTTGGCAAACTGTTGTGTTCATTTGATAAATTAACTTAACTTTGTTTGGAAATAGTGGAACATTTTCACCACAAAGCACACAATCAACTTAAAGAGAGTCCCTGTGTTAATATGTAGTTTTAAATGACTACTTTATCAATTTAGTATTGCACTTTCATAAAGCAGGGGGAATGGGTGAGACTGACGGGAAAAAATCAAAGCAGAAGTTTAGAAATCCTGTAGTTATTAGAATGTGTCAAGCTCCAAAAACAGCATATAATAAAACAGCCTCTTTTATTAGATCCCACCTGTTGGGTCAACACTCATGTCCTTTAAACTCCATGCCTCTTCTTTGAAAGACAGGCTTTCTGTTACTACTTTCTTAGAATTTAAAATTCCCTCTAGATCCACAGAAAAAAAATATACATCTGTTTAACAGGATGAGAACTCACAACTAAAACTAAACATATATAAACATAACAACTGAGTTCCCTTTGCAATCTTCATCGTTTGAACTCCAATAGTGCTAATAAGGTGCATATTTATACATTTCTTTGTTTTTCAGATTGCCAAACAGTAAACCTGGGCTCATGTAATATAGTATTAGAATCACAGCAGTATAATAGAGAAAGTGTGGGGACTGGGGTGGTAACAGGGATCCAGCAGCTCATTTCTGACCCAGGCAGAAACATGTTTCTCTAATTATCTTGATATGCACCGATATGTAATTCATCCATATTAACACTAGATAAAGAATTCCAGGTACCTGGAAGAGAAGGGAAAGCCTCTGGCAGTGAGGCCAAGACATGTCAGATAACATTATGAGGCTGCATTACTGATGCAACAAAAAACAATAACAATCAATAGATTATGTTAACTTAATAACTGTTGACCGGTGTTACTCTGGTTGACAACACAGACAAACAGTATTTTTTTAAAAAGAGATTACCAGAAAAAGGCACACATCAATTGAGAAGGTATAATAAGGCAAAGAACAGTCAGTCCACCTACATGGCTCTTAATATATAATACAAAAAAATAAATTATAGAATTTAAAAAGAACAACAAAATACAACAGGCTTAGACCCCAGTGACAACCAAAAACACCATTAAAAATTATTCTATTAAAAACTTGTTTCTGCATGTACATCACAAAGTAGTTTGGTTAATACATAAAGTGGCTCAGCTCTTTGAAAACCTGCTAAAAGCTTTTCTATACATAACAGGATTAGCTCTCAGCAGCTTCATTATCATGCAAAAATAAAGAGCGCTGTGGTCAGTGAAGGAGTCGCACAGCTGGTTCTAGCCGTGGTAGAGGCGTATGTGCTGGGATATGTTGCTACGACAAAGAGGGCAGTTCTGCAGGGCGTCGCTGCACACCTGACAACAGCAGACATGACCACAGGGCAGGAAGATGACCTGAGACTGGAGGAACAGAAAGACAAGACACAGTCAGTCATGTTAATAAAGAATGGTAAGATTTAATGTTCTTTACTGCCAAGGTTTGTTTCTGAAGTAATTTTCTGGAGGAATTGGAGAGCGATCCTCTGCACTTAAAGAGATTGAAAGGTAGTTTCTTTAGTTAGAATACTTTCTATTTCAAATCAAGCATCTTAAGATACGATTGGAAAGTTTTGTTCTTGCAGCTGCATTTATAATACTTTTAGACTCAAACGTAGATTAACCATGTCATGTGCTATGCTACTTCAGTACACTTTAAGATGAAATACTAATGGGACTACTAGAAAAAATACAGGTGAACATTTAACTTCCACAAATTCACATTATAGACACAAACACAGACTATCTGTGTAACACTTGCAAAGCATCCAGTCTATGTACACATCGAGTCCGCAGAATGGAACCGAAACAAGGTAAAGTTATCATTACATTCATTCTTTGTTATTATTCTCCAACTGGTTAGTCCTTGAGTTTAAGTAATAACGTTACTGTGATGAGGTACGCAGCTGTTCCCAGTACCGGGACGCCAAGCAAAAGTATTTCTTATCCAATTATTTGATGACTTGATGGAATAATGTATAGAATCCTCAATTACTAAAATAACCGACAGCTGCAGCCATGATCACTTATTTGGGAAAAATTGTACTGAATCTAAATTATGTGTATCATATGTGTTCAGATTTGAGTTATGACTCTGGGAAAGAGTACAGAACGTTTTTTTGTTCTACTGAAGAGATTAGGTTGTAGCTGTGATTTCAGGTAGCCTGGTGAGGACAGTTTGGCCAGCTGCTGTCTGTGCTGCTGAAAGTGAATCGTTTATTCACCTGGTGTACAAACAAAACAGGACCCAGGACAGGAGCTTGGGGGACACCATAAGAATGGTTTGTAGTTTGTTAGCTGTTATCCACCAGTGACGTCTCACTCCTGGTGAGAAGTTCATGTCCCGCATTAATGAACTAGAAGTGTTGGCCTCACATCTAAATATGAGTACTTAAAGACATTTGAGTAATGAATAGAATACATTATGATCCTAGTTTTAAAAAGCTGTGTAGTACCGATTATTACTGAGACTGAAGGTATCACTTTCTGTTTTTTCTTACCCCGGTCTCCATGCAGACCACACACTCGGAGCTCCCTGGTCCCTCCACAGGGCTTGGGGCTGAGGGAGTGACAGGGGTCCCCGGGGTGAGTGGCGGGCTGGGGATCTGGACTATCGAGGTGTGGGGAAACGATGGAGGGGGGGAAAGGGATGGAGCTGTGGGGACAACTTCTGCCTCCTCATCCTGCTGGACAGCCTTACAAGCTCCTGCTGGAGGAGGAGAGAATCAGGTTGGCTTTTCATGGACTTTCCAATGCCCTACACACAAATACACATCCTCGAAATAGACTGAAAAATATGTTGTTGCTTTCTAAACATTAATCAATTTGTAGAATTTTCAAATATTGCCGGGGCCCTCACTTTTCCTTCTTGGATTTCAGCCCTGAAACTTCTGTGACCAGAGGAAGCCCTGCACTCACATGTTAAATATCCCTTTTGTTCCATTTTTGTATTGAACACTTAATGTGATGAAGCAAGAAGGTCAGTGAATGCGTCTGCATTGGTCTCTTAGTGATTCTTCCAGTACTGTACGGGAACTTTCACCTTCAGTTCATTAAATCCCTGCAGCCATCTTCAGGCAGCACGACACACATGTTGATGAATCTGGAGTCTCTGATTTGAAATGTGCCGTGCCCGAGCGCAGTGCCATTACACACGACCATCCGCCGTGGCACAGCTGCCTTTCTAACTTTTTAAAAAATCCATTTCAGCGATTCATGTTTTGTTCTTCGAATGCATTAGGATGCAAATGCTGCAGTGTCACGTTTTAAAATACGATGTGACCATTTACATGATTACATGAGCATATCTTTTAATCCCTACACCCTACAATCTACACACAGTGGCCACTCTGAGTTACACTAGTACAATTCATAAAGCCATAAAGTCTGTTTCATCTTTTCTAAAGCCTATAATGTTCAGTTTTTGTTGACTCTGTCATAGAGGTGTTTATTAAATCATGTTTTAGTACTGAGGTCATAGTAAAAATTTGATAAAGCCATATGTAATTATGACCTCAGTAATAAACGTATAATTATATTTACCACTTCACCAAAACTGAACATTAAGAGTTCCGCAAAGACAGATGATCTTGTTTTGACTCAACATCCTTGTTTTTACCGCCTACGATCATATCCATGTTGGTTAGTTTCAGCTTTTGTTATCTTGATTGTTGATACTTATTGTTGTGACCAGTGTGGGCCAGAGATGATTTCTTTCCTTTGAAAACGCACGTCACCAAATTGCCAGTTTGTTGCAGTATGTATAATATATAGAAATAAAGGAATGTACCTTCCAGATGGTGTTCCCGAGCCCAGTTCAGAAGAGCTTTCTGGATTCCTATTTCATTGATGCCAAGCTGAAAACAAAGAAATGAATAATGCTGATTGTTCTGCACATTCATTAATAGTTCATACTGCATTTATTTTTCTTGGCTACTTGGGGGCAGGACAACAAGCTGTAAACACAACACTCATTTTCATTTCATCCCCCCCCTCCCCCCGCAGCATCTGTGCTGACTGATAATGATGTTGACCAGACAGATGTGTCAATCGCAAGTCAAGCAAACACCACTTCTCTACAGGCGAACGGTGGCTTTGTGTTGCCAAAGATCTCCCAGGTCAACTGATAAAAATGCGTTAGGAATGATGTTGCAGACAGACCTTCTTGAGGTCAGCGGAGTTCATGTGGTAAAGGGCCTCAGTTGTCACTCGATGATGAGCCAGGATGGGTAGGTAGTGTTGAGCTGACAGTTTGCACAATAGGTTGACTAACTCTTTCTCCACGCCCGCTTCCTGTATAAAGATTACAGTTTAGCAGCAGCACAGTTTGGTTTCAGATGTTTCTGCGTGTTCTCCCTGCTCTGTACTGTACCTGCATGCGCAGTGACAGGGGCTTGGCATCCAACAGTCTCTGGTACTGGATCATCCAGTAGTTCTGCTGGTTGGACTCAGACTTCAGCTCGATCTCCGCCTGGAAAACACAAAGTGATTGTTCGTCATTTAAACACTTGACCCCGGAATGAGAAACACAACAGGTGGAAACAGCTTTAATGTTTTGGTTCAATTGAGCACTAACTGATCTGTGTAAATGACAGAAGGCAAATGTGAGTAATCACTGCCTCCAAAGCAGCACCATTTTGATAACATGTAACAGAGGAAAGCATGAGACAGGGCTTGACACTGAAAGAGAGGAGTAGTGCCCACTGAGGCCTGCTCAAAGCAGCCATTTCCTCACCAGAAGCTGCCGCAGCTCCTTCTCTCTCTGGTCTCTCTGCTTCAGCAGCTGTTGCAACAAATCACTGAGAGCTGTGCGCTGCTCCACCAGAACCTCCTACACACACACACACACACACACACAGTAGTGATAAATCACACTCATCAGTAAATTTTGAAACTAAAACACTGTCTTGAAACCGTGTATTTAATATCCATTACAATTTCTTGACCCTCACTGTTGCCATGGAGCAATGACATGAAAATAGCAATGATACAGTAATCAACAGGAAGAAGGGAAAAAAATGCGGGAAGGCAAAGAAAGAAGGCGGTGACACCCACCTGCAGGTTCTCAGCATCCAGACTGCGTCTTTTAATCTCCAATTTAGTCAGCTGCATTAATTCACCCTCTATGAGCTTGATCTGGGGACAGTAAAGAAGCAAACATGAAGCTAGCAGGGAGAAGGGACATGCTGCTGAACGCAGGATGAAGTCAGGATGGAAACATAGGTCTGTGGGTCTCAAGGGTACCCGTCTGCTAAATAAACGAGTATGAGTGAAATTATTTATTTATGTATAAACTGTAGGTGAAAAAAACACAAAACAGAAATAGAAATGACAATAATGGCCAGTGTCTGCAGTCTGTACCGCCGTACTTGTATCTCTCCCAACAGCCAGTGAGAAAAGCCAGTGTGTGACTACTTGCATCTCCAAATGGTGATTTTCTTAAACCTCTATTAACTGTATTGGTCACTTTGGGGCAGCAAAACAGGCTGTAAACACAACACTGGCATACACTTGACTATATCAGCATTTATTACATTGATATAACTAATGTATTAGCTAGCAGTTGTCTACCTGATATAGGCCTGCTATAACAAGGCATTTATTCCTGTACATAGTGATTGTGCGTATGGTTCTGGGGATGCTGTTTGATTTGCAGAATGCAGGCCACATTAGGCACTTTCACGCCTTCTAGATCTTCAGCCATTCCACTGAAATATTTGTCATTTTATTTTTGGAAAAATAAACATGTATTAAAATACAAAATATGATTCTGAACAAAAGCTAAACTGGGATGACTTGCAAATTTACGGAGAGACAGAGACATGAATCTACATGCTTTACTGATCAGCTTATCATGTGATGTGAGCTCCATTCTATGGGGGTCATTTTAAAAAAATAAATGAACACACCAGTGAGTTGTTGGACCCTCACCCCACCCATCTCCACCTGTCCACACAGACCTGGTTGCGGATGTAGCCGTGGACAGCATCTTTCTGCAGCTGCAGGGCCTGGAACGCTGCTTTCTGCATCTCCTCCTGCAGAGAACAATCAGAGGACGTGACAGGTCACAAGTTGGATTTCTCCATCAACCTCTCGAGACACAACGTAAGCCATACCCAGGCACCACGTACCTCCTGTAAGATGTGGGCAATGGCTTTAGATTTGTCCAAAACTTGGAGGGACAGCATCTTATCAAACTTCTTGTCCAAATTCTCCATACTGTTGTAACACAAGGGAAGAGAAACCACACACCGAGTTCCCAACATGTTTCTCAAAGCTTTGATTTATTAGGTGCATTTGCAGTGTTGACATCCATCTGCTTGGATCTGGTGTGTGTGTGTGTGTGTGTGTGTGTGTGTGTGTGTGTGTGTGTGTGTGTGTGTGTGTGTTTAACCTTCTGCAGGCCTCAGACACCAGGTTCTGTCTGCGAAAGTCACTGGCCTCCTGGAGGAGACTCATAGCACAGCTGTCTGACAGCATCTTCTGCATGGCCGCTAAAAACCCCCAGAGAGAGAGAAGAGAAAATGTGCAGTGAGGAAACGAATGCCAAACAATACGTTTATTTTACGTGTTGGATTAAAAGGAAATAACCATCATTCTGAAAATCTTTTGTTGCTGTAATAGGGTTCAAAAGATAAACCTTTTCAGAGATTGGTGTTGGATGAAAAAGGTTAATCCCCCCAGGAGCATGAATGTGCTCAGCAATTTTCATGACAATCTGATGATGAGATATCTTGTGTGCAAGGTTGTCATTATGTCCTGAGGTTAGAGCCAAAGAAAAGCTGACCAAAACTGAAAGGGTTCAACCTCTGGGGAGCACAAGTCTGAGTAGTATGTAGCTGCAGTACCGGAGGCTGCAGGTTTAGGGCCGCAATCCTAAGACCGGAACTGCATTTCGAGACCCTTGTTTACTTTGAAACTGCCAGCAAGCTTACCACAACCACCTAAACTTAAGTTATTGATTATATGCATGTCGCCCGGTTAACCCTACAGCTGCGCCACAATCTCCTTCGTGTTGCTATGCATTACCGCCACAAGTCCACTAGATGGTGCTGTCGCAAAAGAACTACAGTTCTAGAACTGTGGTACCAGGATTGCAGTCCCAGGATCGCAGGGGTCCTGAAACTGCAACCTCCGGTACTTCAGCTACATAATATTGACATTTCTCAAGTTAAAATAAAAAGTTTGTCCTGAGAAAAGCGGAACAAAGTTTTTCCTTTAAAAGATCTAAAGTGATTTAATAAGGTTTTAGGTGTCTTACAGATAATGAATTGATAGTGTGCCACATTTTTATTGTAAGTTTGTAAATGAATGTATATACATTCATAATGTAATTTAGTTTGGTAAGCTTTATAAAATTAACAAAAGGTCTCTGGCAAATTAAGTAAATGTTTTGGGTTCATGGTTTGCGAATAACAGGGGCACTCCAGCCATGACTCATACAGAACACTTCATACGTCCATCAGCCAGGTTGCTTACCTGCCACGTCCCTCTTCCTCAGTGAACTGGCTTCTTCCTGTGTGATGGCAGCCAGATGCTCCATATGAATCCTGAAGGGGAGGTCAACAACAACAATGTGAAGTAATGCTCTGCTGACTTTACAGTACAGTAACCACGGGGCCAGACAGCTGAAAATCATGGTAAAATGTAAATATATAATCAGGAAGAATACTACATTGTAATACAAATTCAGTTTAAATGTAAATCTGTTGTGTGAATGGCACTGACATACAGACAACCTATTCATTTAATCCCATAGTGTATTTGATACACATACACAGACAGAAATTGTCAGAAATGACCATGTTCACCATTTTACATTAGCATGTTAGCATTCTACATTTGCTAATGAGTACTAAACAGAAAATATAGCTAAGGCTGATGGGAATGTCATTGGTTTTGCAGGTATACTTTGGTCAAAAACCAAAGTACTGAGTATTGATGAGACCACCACAGTCATTAGAATTCATTCAGAGGGACACATGAATGTCTGAACCAAAAATTATGGCAATCCATCAAAAAGATTCAAAGGTTCAAAAAGGTTCATTTCACTGAACCTAGGGCTGGACGATATGGCCAAAAATGTTATCACGATTATGATTTTCATATCTTTCGATTTCGATACTTATCATGATAAGTATCATCGTCATTTCTTTTGAGTGTAAAGGCTGATTTTTGCTATTGAGTGGAAGTATAAGAAACCTGATGGTTAATTGTGGTTTAAATTCAAAATTATTGTCAACACTAAATGCTCAACAGTGTCTCACTTCACAAATCTGAGGTAGAACATAATTATGATAAAATCTTTGTCAACAAATATGCACGAGTCAAATTAAGTAAAAGCTTTTTTCGGTCCCTTTTCCCTCACAAAATAAACATCTTAATAAAAAAAATAAGTCCTAATTTGTGTATGATTCAAGTTAATAAAGTCAAACATTTATTGAATATTTATTGAACATTTGTTATACTGTTATTGAAAAAAATTATATCGTAAAATTATATATATATAATTATTGTTATTGTTTTATTGTCCAGCTGTTGTGGCCTTTTAGCTGTTACAGTCTAGCTTTAAAACTTAAGATGATGGATATTTTGCTGCAGTGGCTCATATTCGTTTCAGATGCTCTTAGTTGTTTCACAAACTAGGACTGTAGGTTTTGTCACCCATCTCTTACATGAGAGTTGCGACATAAACAGAGGTGTAGTGGTGGGTGTGATGTAGGTATACAGCGTATACCCACCTCTGTGGGCGGGGGATTTAATATATTCTTACCTAAAGTCGGCACAGATATCAGTGCACATCTTGCAGAGTAAGGCTGTAGGCAATCATGTTACAGTCATGTAATCTGTCACTTCTCATTTTGTTCTACTACAAATATGAAGCGAACAAACCAAGGCACAGACAACGTTTACACCGACGACAGTTACGAGCTAGAGGAGGAAGTATCTCCAAAAGGACACTATGAGACGGACATAACATTGGATAATGATGTTATACCAGCAGGCACAGCACTGCAGGGTTGTTAGGTTATGCCACAGTATACCCACCAACCAAGACACCTGCTATGAATCATTTTACAGCCAGTATGGGGAGAAGGAATGGTTTCCCTTAAACTCACTCTTACAGAATGAACTATCTTAACACCTAATCATATTTTAAATTTCATTTTCCACTACTGTATGCTGTGCCAAAGCTTAGTTTTAAAGCCTCATGTGTCCTCTCATTGTGTTTTTATTTTCCCTCTCCTGGAAAGAACGTGCATCTTACTTGGAAAGTGCTCTATAAATAGGCTGAGTCTGCTAAGTGGAAAACAATTGGATGACTGTGGCTATGTGTTTTTTTTTTTGCTGTAATAGATTTGGATGTAATGGATCAGTGGTCTGTCTACTCACCGATTTTCCTCCATGGTTTGAAGAAACTCTGCACTTTTTTTCTGTCTGGACAGATTAAAATATAGTGCAGTTAGCAGAGACTCGTCAGCGTACACCATGAATAAAGCATGCATTCTGTGACACAGATCCACACGCCAACTCTGCAACAAAACAAACAGTACACAGTAGGCTCGGGCTGCATTTACTTTTTCATACCTTTCATACCATAGAGAGTGTGTGGCTAAACGAAAGTGAGCGAGTGGTAGGTGAATGCAGGGGAGCAGTGAAGTTTAGCAGTAAATGTACAGTCAGTGAGTAAAGACTACAGCTGAAGCTCCTGTTTGTTGTGTTTACCAACTGCCGTAAAGTGAAGGGAGTTATTGTGTTGTAGACGATGTCAGGCAATTTAAGGCCGATTTCCCAGGCTACGCTGAGGGTGTACACTACACTACACGAGCTCAATACAGCATCTCTAGTTCAGTTTAACAGAAAGATTAGCGTTTATATTTGTGACAGTTTTGAAAGTCATACAGTCGGGCTTTCCGAATACCCTGGTATACCCTGAAGCCTTCTACATAGCCGGTTCCTTCAGGGCCTACCTGTTTTTGTCCATCAGCATGTTGCTGATGCGATTGCTGATGCTGTCTTCAGCTTGTCGGACTTTCTCCAGCACCAGCAGCCTCTCTGCCTCCTGAGCCCTCTGCTGCTGGCTGACCCCCTGCTCCAGACGCTCCTGCTCCTAAACATCAGACCGATTATACACACTAATTAGATGAAATCAATGCAAAACACACAGAAAAGACTGGTAGTAGTCGGTAGAAGGCGCTATCAACTCCACTGGGTTGCTGTTTTTTGTTGTTGTTTTACTGTCATGGTCGTAGCATTTCCAGTGTATACAACCCACAACTTCATTTCATTAGGGATGCAATTTCTCAGAATGCCATTCTTATCATTAACTCATTAGAAGTTGGTGATTACGATACTTAGATAGAAATAGATATAGCCACACACACACACACACACGAAACAATCACAAGAGTTTGAAATTGGGTTTGAAATTTCATTGCATTCAAATGCAAAAATAAAACTTAAACTAAATAAAATATGCACTGACAACCACAGTGATGGCAGAGACCTCCAACCAATGCAAATAACAAAAACCATACCTGTTTTTAACTGCCAGCGTACACCTGCTGAAACTATTAGTTCAGTTGTCACTTGAATGTTTAAAGGACTAGTCTGGTGATATTGTATGAATGTGTATACTAACAAGTCCTCTGTGTGTCTCACAGCCTGATGTCTCTTCTTCCTCTGAGCCATAGAGCTCCACTGTCCAGAAAATATTAAAACATCAGGGAGCCTCACTGCTGCACTGGGTGAGTTGTTCCTTCGTCACCAAGAACACACACTGTAGATTATTCTGACTCAGTCCCACATACACCGTCTTGCTGCCCCAAACACTCACTCGAGCACCACATTTGGATTCATCCGCGGCTAAAAATAGTCCCCAACAAATGCACAGTGGCAAGCTGGAAATTATTTAGCCTTTTCAAAAAAATGAATATATTAATAATAATAATAATAATAATATATTTGTGAGCTGTTTTTAAAGATTTACATCTTCCGTATGAACCGTGATTGGGGCTGAGTGCCACAGACAGGGTAGGGAAGACAAACTAACAAACTGCTAGTCGAGATAAGACATACAGTGGGTACGGAAAGTATTCAGACCCCTTTAAATTTCTACTCTTTGTTTCATTGCAGCCATTTTCCAAAAATTAAAAAAGTTCATTTTATTTCTCAGTAATGTACACTCAGCACCCCATCTTGACAGAAAAAAACAGAAATGTAGAAATTTTTGCAAATGTATTAAAAAAGAAAAACTGAAATATCACATGGTCATAAGTATTCAGACCCTTTGCCGTGACACTCATATTTAACTCAGGTGCTGTCTATTTCTTCTGATCATCCTTGAGATGGTTCTACACCTTCATTTGAGTCCAGCTGTGTTTGATTATACTGATTGGACTTGATTAGGAAAGCCACACACCTGTCTATATAAGACCTTACAGCTCACAGTGCATGTCAGAGCAAATGAGAATCATGAGGTCAAAGGAACTGCCTGAAGAGCTCAGAGACAGAATTGTGGCAAGGCACAGATCTGGCCAAGGTTACAAAAAAATTTCTGCTGCACTTAAGGTTCCTAAGAGCACAGTGGCCTCCATAATCCTCAAATGGAAGACGTTTGGGACGACCAGAACCCTTCCTAGAGCTGGCCGTCCGGCCAAACTGAGCTATCGGGGGAGAAGAGCCTTGGTGAGAGAGGTAAAGAAGAACCCAAAGGTCACTGTGGCTGAGCTCCAGAGATGCAGTCGGGAGATGGGAGAAAGTTGTAGTAACTCAACCATCACTGCAGCAATCCACCAGTCGGGGCTTTATGGCAGAGTGGCCCGACGGAAGCCTCTCCTCAGTGCAAGACACATGAAAGCCCGCATGGAGTTTGCTAAAAAACACCTGAAGGACTCCAAGATGGTGATAAATAAGATCCTCTGGTCTGATGAGACCAAGATAGAACTTTTTGGCCTTAATTCTAAGCGGTATGTGTGGAGAAAACCAGGCACTGCTCATCACCTGTCCAATACAGTCTCAACAGTGAAGCATGGTGGTGGCAGCATCATGCTGTGGGGGTGTTTTTCAGCTGCAGGGACAGGACGACTGGTTGCAATCGAGGGAAAGATGAATGCGGCCAAGTACAGGGATATCCTGGACGAAAACCTTTTCCAGAGTGCTCTGGACCTCAGACCGGGCCGAAGGTTTACCTTCCAACAAGACAATGACCCTAAGCACACCGCTAAAATAACGAAGGAGTGGCTTCACAACAACTCCGTGGCTGTTCTTGAATGGCCCAGCCAGAGCCCTGACTTAAACCCAATTGAGCATCTCTGGAGAGACCTGAAAATGGCTGTCCACCAACGTTTACCATCCAACCTGACAGAACTGGAGAGGATCTGCAAGGAGGAATGGCAGAGGATACCCAAATCCAGATGTGAAAAACTTGTTGCATCTTTCCCAAAACGACTCATGGCTGTATTAGATCAAAAGGGTGCTTCTACTAAATACTGAGCAAAGGGTCTGAATACTTATGACCATGTGATATTTCAGTTTTTCTTTTTTAATAAATTTGCAAAAATTTCTACATTTCTGTTTTTTTCTGTCAAGATGGGGTGCTGAGTGTACATTCCTGAGAAATAAAATTAACTTTTTTGATTTTTGGAAAATGGCAGCAATGAAACAAAGAGTGAAAAATTTAAAGGGGTCTGAATACTTTCCGTACCCACTGTAGCTCAATCAAATTATCAATAACATGCATGTCTTTCGAACAGTGGAGCGAGTGAGTACTGTGTACCTGTCGGACTGAGTTGAGCATGTTTTCTTTGTGGGAGTTGTTCATGAGTACAAGCTGGGTGTGCTCCTTTTGCCTCTCCTCCAGGTGCCGCTCAAAGGCCAGCTTCTCTTGCTGCTTCTGTTCCTGAAGGACAGAGAGGACAAGACAGTGTGTGTACATATGTTTGTCAACTTTTCAGCTTTGCTTGAAGACTGCACTGCAGCTGCCACACGTTTCAGCCAGGAAAATAAAAACAAGAAATATATAAATAAAACATATAACAACACAATGACTCTGAACAAATTACCTTCATGGCTTTACACTCTATATGCAGATTCACACGCTACCACTAAGGATGCGCCAATCCGATACTGATATCAGCGCAATACTGGCACAAATAGCTGGATTGGGTATCAGCGAGAAGGCGGCCGATCTATACAGTTCAATTATGTGAATACTACATAGAGCATCAGCAGCGTGCCGGTACACCCAAGCTTTTTGCTAGGAGAGTTAACACAGCATTTTGTTTTAAAAAGTTAGGAAGCAATGTTTATGTCACGCTTGATGTTGCCTTACACATAAAATAATGATTCCCAGTCTCTTCCTCATTGTGAGGAATAAAGCTTTTTCATTTTACACCGGTACCAGATTGGTTCTCGGCATGGGCCGATACCCAAGGCGTTAGTATCAGGAAGTAGTATCGGTATCAGGACTGAAAAATTAGAGAGACAGGAAAGGCAGGAGAGAGAGAGAATGAATGACGTGCATGGCGCTGCGGTAAGGACTCAGCCTTAATGGTATGTGCTCTACCTACCAGGTGAGCTCATGGGGCGCCCCAGCCTACACAGTATCTGTACTTGTTTTCTTATGAAGGATGCTACAGCCAACAACTTTCACACTAAATGCTCCACCAGCTAGTCGCCAGCTTTGTCGGTTTATCAGAAACTTTTAGCTGAAAACAGCGGAAACAAAGATGAAAGCAGACTTTGAGGTTTGGAAAACCCTGAAAATTAGCTAAAAGAGGCTAAAAAATCTCTGCAGAGCTGAGGGAAACAGGACAGGCTGAATCTAACAGTGACTGTGTTGCTGGAGTCACTCACCTTTCTCTTCTCGTAGTCACTGAATTTATTCTGCAACAGAAAGTGAGGAAAGATTGAATGACGCTTTCAGTTTCATCAACAGAAGCCAGTTAATACAATGTAAGAAGCAATTACCAAGGCCCAATTAAACAGAACTACATGAAAATGACTTTCTACTCCTGTCATGGGGGTCGTGTGTGTTAGTACTGTACCTGCCAGGCCTCCTCTAAGCCATCCAAACAGTCAGAGCTCTTTTTGCCACAGTTGTTCTCGAGCACCGGCAGGAGATACTGGGATGGGGGGCAGTACTCCTCTCCCAGCTCTGAAACAATTACGTCTTAAATCACTTTTTAAAATCAAAGCTTACGCTTTATGCAAGGGGCAACCTCCAGGGATAAAAGATGAAGCCAACGTGAAGTCCCTAAACCTGCAGTTCATTGACTGTCAATCCTCAAAGATCCAACTTTACAGCAAAAATGAAAAATTTTACTGTAGGGGTGGGAATCACCAGAGGCCCCAAGATACAATATTATCACGATACTTAAGTCACAATACGATATTATTGCGATGTTATTACTTTTTTCCAAACTTTAAATTGTTTCCCCTTAAGAAAACTCTTCTTCTAGTGGACAGAAAAAGCAATTGATTTTATTATTGTAGTACCAAAAAAGTAAAATTCTCAAGTACAATTTATATAATAAAAGATCAATACTTCACATCTGTGACATCTGCATTTTGACTCTCAGCTCAGCAGTGACCTACACAGAAGAAATGTTCTAATGCAACACCGTGGCTCCTAAAGTGTTTTAATAGTTTTTTGGCAATATCAGCGTGTGGATACATATCTCTAAATCTACGCTGTAGTCAGAAGCGTGTGTAAGCAGTAGGTATCACAAAGTAAACCCTCACCAGTGCACAGGAAGCGTTGGATGCTCTCCGTCCCCTCTGTACACACAGACGCAGGTGGGTAGGACATCATCGCCGCATCAAGTGTAAAGCTCTGTCACAGCAAACATACACACACAGGTTTTTTATAAAATCATGTCCAAGTTTTCCTGTAAGTTTGAATCCCAAGACACAGACCTCTAGTGTTCGGATATAGGCCAGAGCTTTGGGGAGCTGGACTATGTTGTTGTCACTCAGGTCCAGGGTGCGCAGGCTGCTCAGAGAACCAAACGAGGATGGCAGCTCACTTAGACAGTTACCTGTACAGATACACAGTGATGGGGAAAACACATAACCAATGTCATGTGACTTGTACATTTTGAAAAAAGGAAAAATATAGGAAGCAGGAAGCATCATACCCTTCAAATTGAGTGTCTGAAGAAGCCGCAGATCCCCAATGGAGTCTGGCAGGGCCTTCAAACAGTTCTTCTCTACATTCAAAATCTGACAGGACACCAAATGGACACACGTGGATGATGAGTAGCATTTATTCACGCTCATTTCCTCTGTACCAGGAGTTGAGTTCAGAATGGTTTTACCTGCAGTGACGCCAGCTTCCCAATGTCCTCTGGGAGTGAGGTAAGCTTGTTCTCATGCAGATCCAAAACCTTTGGAAGCAGACAGAGGAGGACAGGAGTCAGAGATTAGGCTTCTAGCAGCCATTTTATCGTAGCTTTTAAAAGTCTGGTCTTTTGTTGACAATCATACATTTTCCATCATCAGTCAGGATGCTTAAAACCCACAGTCTACACCAAATTACCCAACATGTATATCTTCATAAATCTCAAAAAACAAACAAACACTGAAACATGCTTGCAACAGGCGTTTAAATGTCCCATCATGCTTGTGTCCAAGTTACATTACCTTTAAGGAAAGGGTGCTAATGTCACACCCTTTGGGTATCAATGACCTCAGCTCATTGTTATGGAGAATAAGGACCTGAAGGAGAGTAACAGAGGACATGTCTGACTGCTCAACCAGAGACACAAACATAGGGGAGTTGTGTAAGTATTGGTGAAACATTATTAAATAAATAGAACAGAATAATCTCTGCACCTGCAAATACATTGGAATAACGAACAGAAACCTGACACAATTCATCTCCATGTTGCATTCTTACCTTCTTCTGTAGCACCTTGCAAATGGAAAAGGCACTCGAGGGAACCTGTGGCAGAAATAGACAATAGGTGTTGTCATCTGCAGCGCTATCCACACACTAATACAGAATTTTATAAACAGTTGCTTCTGCAGGTGCAGCAGTAATGTATAGTGAAAGGAAAACAATGTTATAATCTGTAATTCAACATCCATAGACAAGAGAATTACCTATGTCAATGTCAGTCCTTCAGCACAAGTAAATGAAACACACCTGCTGACAGTAACTCACCTCTGAGAGCTCACAAGCTGAGAGGTCCAGGATGTCATCAGCACCTGCTTCCTTAGACTGCAGAACAAGGAATAACAGTTTTTGAGGTTGTTTGGAATATATATTCTTTGTTTTGGATAGCAAACCCTCACACTTCTTACCAGGCACAGCTGATATTCCAGTCTCTTCTGGGAGTCCTCGCTGGGTTTCCTCTTTCTGAAGAATAGAGGCATCCTGAGTCCTGCCTGTCCTGCTGTCTCTCTGGCTGCTGGGATTCCCTCCTGCCCCTTCACTACAACAAGAGCTGCCCCACAGGACTGACGGACTGGTTGGAAAACACTGCCTGCACAAAAAGGAAGAAAATTGTGTTACTATGGACTGATCAGATGAAGCAATATGGCTTAAACTCAACTTTAAAATGTTCCACAATACACTATATCAGAGGTCACTAATAGGCCGACCGCGGTCCGGATCCGGACCCAGCCTCTGTCCTCTCTGGACCGCTGACCTACAGCTGATTTATCATTGAAACTTACTACCTCGTGACGGAGCGTTTCTATTTTAACCCGCGCAGCTTTTCTAGCATTTACTGTACTGGTTTAGCAGACCAGGAAACTCACAGACCAATCGCATGTGCTCCCTATCGTCTCGTGTGCATTCTGATACTTGCAAGTCGAGTCCGCGAGATTCACCAGAGACGTTTTGGAAACACACACGAATTGAGGAGACGAAAGAGAAAAGAGATGTCACATGGCTTTTAATCAAGAATGTACAGATTTTTACATGCACATTCGTCCCATGGGCAGTTCAGAACCAGAATATCTCATAGATCTCCAATCCTAGCTTGTAGGACAAACTAGAGCTCACGTTTCTCACTGAACAAGAGAAAGTAGGAGTGGTAGCTATGTAAGAGGGAATGAAAGAGAAGAGGAGGCATTACAGCTGTTCATTTGTTATGATGTGCTGAGTGTTTATTATAAAACTGGTTAAGACTACACTAGTTTACTTAAATTTAGAATTTATTATTAGAGTAGTTATTATTTATTATCCCTCCAGTTTGATGTGAAAACTGACTGAAATATTATTTGATTTGACAGTCCGTTATTGACTAAAAACATATGTTGATACAACTATATGTTATGGCACTGAATGATAACGCAAGTAAGTCGTTTTGATGTTCCGGACCTTTGCTTCGGGAAATTCTCTCTAGCTGGACCTCTTTGAATTCTAAATGAATACCCCTTAACTATATGATGACTCAAAACTATAACTAAAAGTGGAAATTATACAGGTTAAAGCTTATTTCATTCACTTTTGTGGCCACTTGCTAGCAGCAGAACAAGCAGAAAACACTGACATGTTATCATTCTAAAAGGTTGTCATGGTAAATGCATTAACCCTCCATGGTCTATGTACACACTCAGCAAAAGCAGAGCAACATTAGCATTAGAGAAGCAAGCTTGTGACCAGAGGGTTGTTGGTTCAATACCCCAGAACGGCAGGGCAAATCTGGGTGGGGAACGTGAAAAGCAATCATTCCCACCACTGAGGTGCTCCTGACCAAGGCCTTCAACCCGAACCGCTCTAGTGGAGCTGCTCAGTGGCCAGCAGACCACAGAAACTGTGGTTGTACTGGACAGCTTTCAGGTGAATGTTTAACTGTGTAAATGTGATCAGGGCTCTCCCCTGAATAAATAACAAAACAAAAAAGCATTCGTTTGAAGTAGTGTTTCCTGCCACCTAATGTAAGTCCAATATTTAATCTGTTTTCGGCCCCACCCTGAGATCATTTCTGGCTTCACAGCAGCTTAATGCCCCGTTATTATCACCTGCTAGTGGCTAACTTTCTGTGTCAGCTGTTTGGTGCTGGGCAGGCAGTGTACCGTGAGTTTATCAGAGATTTTTAGCTGAAGCTGGCAATGAAGTTGATAGGAGCAGAGATTGAGGTCCTAAAAACCATGACAATTAGCGGCACAAAAATCTCCTCACAGCTCTGGGGAAATGCAGTCTGGTGATTATGTATGTTGGCTTGGAACTCTGAGTGATGCCTTTATCACTGCAGTATACACAGTCATTTAATCCACTTTTAATACAAAAATGTTTATAAGTGCAGCTTTAAATTATTTAAATGCGTTATTTAAAAAAATAATGGATAAATATTCCCATTACCTCATCAACAGTTTATTGCATACATTACAAATTATTTACTCTTATTTTGTCCATTTTCTCAGTTTTATCATTTCACTGCTGTGTGCTCAGGTTTCTTATATTGTCCTATATAACGTTATATATACTGTGTTGGTGGAGGTTCAAGGCATTGTGCCTGAAATAAAGACCAAAATAAAAACTAAACTCAAAACTTGGTTTGTTTTTGACTAAGTCCGGATATTTAAGACACTTTCCTTCCATCATCTTAATAAAGATAAGTAAAATGGGATGTAATGACGCACCCAGGACCTCACAATATGAAACTGAGAAGATAAATGAAAGGTTTTCTTTCCTTTTGGGGAGAAGGGAATATATGACGGGGTTTTAACCCATTTCACTGATTCATTTATCTTTTCAGTTATACTTTTACTTCCTCAATTTCGTTTACATTTGTTGTGAAGTTACTGAGACTCCAAATAGTCTTACTTCGCTGTTATTACTTAAATTAACCGAACCATTCCACTTAACGTTACTTCCACATTCCAGATGCTTAAGTGTATTTGTTACACTGGGCCCAGCGGGTGTGGATCCTTACCGTAAATTACGGAGTCAACGTTACTAACGTTAGCACAAATGTTACCAAAAGGTGACCAAACCAGCTACACTTTGCACCATAAAAACCCACTGTAAAGCCAGCTATGCTAACGTTAAGCTTAATAACAACAACATGAATCTCGTTGTGTGACTCGCTTCACACATTAACTGCTGCTTCCTACCGACAAAGGCTTTACGTTAATGACAGGAGTGATGCTGTTAGCTTCCCCGTGACAACTTGCGTTACATTTAGAAAACACGAGCCTAACAAAGCATTAAAAACTCTAACGTTAGGTGTCATACTCACGGGCTGTGTGTCGATGTTGTTTCACTGCTCCTCACCCTTTTCGAGTAACGTTAACGTTAGTTTCGCTGAAAAAACATAAAGGGGGAGATCCGCTGTTTGCTAACGTTGATCGATAACATTTAACGTTAGTTAGTGACTGACCGAAGGCACTCGTCAAAAGTAGAGCGTAAACCGATATTTTACGTTACTTTACTGACGTTAGTTCATAAATATAAGATAAATACAGCAATAGTCCTGATATGCCTCCAGCTGATTCCGCTTCTTCTTCTTCTTTGAGGTTTAAAGGCAGCTTGCATCCTCGGTGTTCCATTACTGCCGTCTTCTGGAGTTAGTTAACTCCTGCAGTGTCCAGAGTCTCCGATTTTACCTGTCAGAAAATTCTTTCGTTACAGCTGCTCACGTAACAAGGCATAAGAAAGAGTAGGCTATATAATTAATAATAATATAAATAGAATAGAATAAATAGAATATTGCATATTAATCCCTTTGTTGTATCTATCCTGTCCTCTTAAGAAAGCTGACTAGACACTTTCTGCCTTCTGCCACACTCCGGATAGCCCTAATGTTTTGATTCCCTCCATTATTCCTCACTTATTCGAGTATACATGTACATGGATGTATGAGTTTAGCTGTAAGTCCATCTGCAGATGATTGATTAAACCTATAAGAAAGACGAGTTTTGGCCTCAAAGAGTTTATTTCAACAACTGCCATCACAGATGTTTCCTTATCATGTGGAGAGTCACGCTGAGCTGCCCTTCTCAGTCTGGTCATTACTTCCTCTTTTATATTTCCTATTGTTTCTCTCAATACCCACTCTATTATGGATGTTTGGTCCGTCTATAAACACATGTACACACTCTGTGCAGCCTATTTACTTTCTGTATGATTATAGTACTCATAAACTAATTCCACCCTTTCATTTTAACCTGAAGTAAAAATATCACCAGTGGTTGTAGTACCCACACAGGTTATAGGCCACACCACCATGTGACAAAACCATACACTCCCAGGATCTCTATCCAGCCAAAACTTGATTTTCCCAGCAGCCTGTAGCACTCTTCTGGTTGGGTGATTATCTCTGTGCGCTCAGCAGAAAATGTGTAAATGGACTCCCCTGCCTGGGAAACAGAAAGTCCATAGATTGATGTATGTGGACCAATACCCAGGACGCACACTGTCCAGCACATGCTCTGTTGTGAGCAAGTGAAACAGTGTCTTTGTTGAAGAGGATTATAAAAAAGATAACTGGGAGCATTTATTAATATATTGATTGTATCATGAAGAAATGTTCCTGCCAACCCTTGTGGGAAACTACTTTTTATTTTAATTTTGTTATCTCAAGATAAGGAGAAAACGATCCCGTTATCATGGGTGAGCTCTCGAGTTAATTATCCCGTTATCATGGGAAAATGGAGTAAAAAATATTTCAATGGATGGCCGCTTAAGGCTTCCCTAGATATGTGATTTTAATGTTCCCTTAATTTTTTGAGTAGGGTATATATTTCAAGGATGATATATCAGCAGCTCAGTCCAAATCAGGCAGCCAAAAAGGCATTTCATAACATTTCTAACATTACAATAGTTTGAACGTCCACCAAAATACACACCCAAGTATCTAAATGATTCAACTGTCTTTAAACTCTTTCCATATAGTTTCAAATCAGTATTTCTTCTAATCCTCTTTTTTGTGAAGAAGATTGATCTAGTCTTTTCAACTGAAAACTTCAATAAAACCCTATTCTTCCCACAAATCTGAACTTGATTTATTTACATTTACATTTATTCATTTATCTGACACTTTTTATCCAAAGCGACTTACAATTGCTATACATGTCAGAGGTCGCACGCCTCTGGAGCAACTAGGGGTTAAGTGTCTTGCTCAGGGACACAATGGTGGATGTCTCACAGTGGGAATCAAAGTATTTGGCTCAAATGTATCCCTCTCTTCCACAAAGCCCCGTCATCTCCCCGTGTGCAGTATCCTGACCTCAAGGTGTCCAGTCTTGCCACCTCTAGCACAAGCGTCCCCACTCAAACCTGCCTGCCCCACCACACGCCACACTGACTGCTGCTTTTAAAAGAGACCCTCTCACTGCTGGCAGGCGAGCCGTGCAGGATGCATGGGAAGAATTATAATATTATATATCTGAATATGTTTCTCACCGTTTCCCAGAGGATCTGAGTAAGTCACTAAATTTGTCGCTGGTCACTTTTTAGAAATAAAATCAAGAAAAGGGTCTGAAAAGAGATCAGTGTGGTTTAAACAACACAAACACCATTTAATGGGCACAAAACTTTGTAGTACAGTGCTTCTTCCTAGAAAGTGAAAATTTGAGTTTTAGTCAAAGAGGTGCAATTAAAAAATACATTGCCGATAATAAGATATACCACTTGTGTGCCTCACACATTTTCTACTTTATGTGCCCGTTTCTGTAAGGCATTCAACCTTGCATGTTGGAAGTTTGTCCACCAGAGGTCACACTTAATACATTTTTGTTGGAATAGCCAAGGGCAAGTTAGGAAACATGCAGAATGTAATTTATTACACTAATTCAACTTAATAGGTGAAACTAATATATTATATTATTATATATATTATATATATATATATATATAGACTCAATATTCAAATTTTCTGAGATTTTGAATTTGGGGTTTCATAAGATGTAAGCCATAATCATCGAAATTATATCAAATAAAGGCTTGAAATATTTCACTTTGCATGTAATGAGTCTAATATAATATATTAGTTTCACCTTTTAGTTGAATTACTGAAATAAATGAACTTTTGCACGATATGCTAATTTTTCGAGTTTCACCTGTACACTCACCGGCCACTTTATTGCTTGTTGACCCAAAAAGCTAAACAGCCAATCACATGGCAGCAACTCAATACATTTAGGCATGTACCTGTGGTCAAGACAACTTACTGAAGTTCAAACTGAGCATCAGAATGGGGAAGAATGATGATGAAGAAGAAAGACGGGCTGCTCTGAGTATTTCAGAAACTGCTGATCTGCTGGGATTTTCACACACAGCCATCTCCAGGGTTTACAGAGAAAGGTCTGAAAAAGAGGACATATCCAGTGAACAGCTGTGTGGACGAAAATGCCTTGTTGATGTCAGAGGTCAGAGGAGAATGGGCAGACTGGTTCCAGATGACAGAAAGGCAACAGAAACTCAAATAACCACTTGTTACAACCAAGAATCCCATCTCTGAACGCACAACACGTCCAACCTTGAAGCAGACGGGCTACAGCAGCAGAAGACCACACCGGGGGCCACTCCTGTCAGCTAAGAACAGGAAACTGAGGCTACGTTTCACACAGGTTCACCAACGCTGGACAATAGAAGATTGGAAGAACGTTGCCTGGTCTGAGGAGTCTTGGTTTCAGCTGCGACATTCAGATGGTAGGGTCAGAGTTTGGCGTGAACAACATGGAAGCATGGATCCATCCTGCCTTGTATCAACGGTTCAGGCTGCTGCTGGTGGGGTAATGGTGCGGGGGATATTTTCTAGGCACACTTTCATGTCCATCCCTTTCTGAACACAGTGTACCATCTGCTGACGGCTACTTCCAGCAGGATAATGCACGACGTCACAAAGCTCAGATCATCTCAAACTGGTTTCTTGAACATGAGTTCACTGTACTCCAGCGGCCTCCACAGTCACCAGATCTCAATCCAAGTGAGCCCCTTTGGGGTGTGGTGGGACGGGAGATTCTCATCATGGATGTGCAGCCGACAAATCTGCAGCAACTGCGTGATGCTATCATGTCAATATGGACCAAAGTCTCTGAGGAATGTTTCCAACACCTTGTTGAGAGTATGCCACCAAGAATCAAGGCAGAAGGGGGTCCAACCCGGTTCTAGCAAGGTGTACCTAATAAAATAGCGCGTGAGTGCATGTGTGTGCAGTACGCCTGCATGTGGTGGTGATTATAATCTCAGTTTTCTTTTTCTTTACTGACTAACCTCCAATGTGTCACATTAAGTAGAAATGTAAGTAGCCTTCACCCTTTTATAGCTAAGTGAACTAACACAGGCCCATGTGTTTGGATGTGCTTTCAAGCCACAACACATCTTAATGGAGCAAATAACAGTCAGTTTGGCATGTGCTTTATTATTCCTGCCCATTAACTAAACAGATTGCTTCCCCAGTGTCTTCACATATAAGCATATTCTGGTTACTAATACTGTTAACACAACGAGATAACCTCTGAGACGCTGGATCCCTGAGCAGCACTATCCCAGACATAAACTCTGCTGTGCTCATTACAGACCTCTGCAGGTGTGATGTATGACTGTGGTTCAAGCTATAGGCTTAGTTATATCACAAAAGGCAAGAAACCATAAATAACCACATACTTAAAGGCACTGACAGGGAACTGACAGTGTGGTTAGAACAGATTTCCCCTGAGCCCCCCTTTGGCTAAAAAAGTCCCACTGCAAAAACACTAGTGTATCCTTAAAAGATGTACATACATAGGCTTATTTATAGAAAATTTGTAGTGAACTTTAACTTCAATCTGATATCATAGCATCTCAGTAATTAGGGCCCAAGCACAAAAGTGCCAGGGGCTTAGGATGGCTAAAGCATCATGAGATTTTGCACACACGTCAGGTTTGGCAAAAATTGCAAAGCACTGATTGGGCTTGGATGTGGCCAGGGGGCTCTATAGCGCCCCCTACACAAAGTGAAGTGAAACGCACAACATAGTGCATTTCACTTCGATGTATGAAATCTGGAAGGCAGATGTATCATCCCTAGATTTAAAACATGACTTTTGGAGCCAAACCCAACAGAAAATCAACCATGTTTACCATTTACATACTCCTAGAGAATGAATATGATCGACTTCAAATTTGGGCAGTGCAATCGAAACACCTCATCAATGCTAAATTGTGAAGCTTTTTAGGATTCATTAAATTCACTCCATGGTGTAAATTTTGATGCTTTGCCATGAAAAAGGAAATAGTGTGTAAATGAAAGGTAGTGTGTAAATGAACGGAAGTAGTGTGTAAATGGACTTTGACATGGTCAAATCTCACCCAAACTTCACATGTTTGATTTGTTTGAGTTCCACCCAAAAGACAACAGTTCGAGATGACTGCGGCTGACTTTCGCCGACTTCATAGTCTAACGTGAGCTGCAGGTGACTGCAGGGGCGGGGTATAAAAACAGCACCGTCAAGTTGGACACATTCTACCTGCATCAGCTTGCTGTGAGCTGAGATCAATGACTGATCCCTGGACCAGGCAATAGTGTGGCTCCAATTTTGTGCGGCCGCCAGACTCGTGTGACATGGTGACGTTTTGCAGCGCTGGCGAATGTCGGACACAGTTTCTAACCAGCATACCTAAGTCCAGCAGCGCTGCATGAAGTCAAACACACCTAACAACATGCCAGTATTCAGACATAGTCATAGAGCCACCTACTGGCATCAATAAATGACATGTTTTATACATTGATGTTGGCAGAAATGCCCTTGATGATATTATATTGCTTTGTGTGCTTTCTTCAAAAGAAATTGGCTCAATAGTGCGAACAATGAAATTTCAGCGAAGCACCCTCTTCAGCAGTACATTTCACCTTGATGGACAAAATGTTGGGGAGTGTATCATCTCTAAAAAGACCCTAGAACTAAATTTAGACCCTGGTCCCTTCGGTGGAAATGCAGCAAGTTCCTCCAAAGGTTTCTAGTTCCAGGGTATAGTTCAGTTTGCCTTGGTTTGATTATTCTGATCCCTGTCACCTGTGTTGCATGTTAGTCCCTGTATATAAATGGTTGTCTGTTATGTTAGTCTGTGTCCGGTCATCATCGTCAGCCAAGTGTTATGTTCCCTGGTGTATTCTTCTGTTGGTTATTTTTGGAAAATGCTGTCTTGGATGGATTCTGCTTTTTGGATGTCACCTGCACCATCTTATGTACACCTTCAGTTTCCATGAGTTAAATAAATACCGCTAACTGAACTCTGCTCGTTTGTGTCTTGCAAATGGGCTAAAACCTAAAACCTGTCAGTCACTCGCCCAACCCAGACAACCCTTAGGTCTCCCTGAAATGGCAACCTCCAGGGCAGGAAAATGAAACAAACACCAAAGTGCCAACAGCTGCAGTTCATCAAATGGCCACTTGAGGCTGGCTCCCTAAAGCCAGTCAGTCCCGGTCAGTCCCCATTAAAATGCTCCATTAGCAGAACTAAACATGTTTAAAGCCTGGTACAAATCCTGGTATCGGTCTATAGCAAATTTCCCCATTCATGACAACTGTACAAGGGGGTAACTCATTTAAATTACATTAAGGCTTAAATGTCAGGATTCTCAGTCATTGAGGTTATCGTTGTCAAATGGGGGTCAAAATCAAGGGCAACGGGACTTGGTTTAAGATACTCAAAGATGTTTCACCTCTCATCCAAGAGCCTTCTTTAGTTCTGACTGGCAGGGAGTCCCAGGTTTTTAACGCGGTTGCTATCAAGGCGACAAATGTTGTTTGTTTCATTAGTGCTCCTGGCTGTTGTAACAACAGTCCTTATGGTGTGAGAGTTTGTTCAATCGCCAAGGAAGGGATGAAAGGACAACATTGTAAGTGGGGGGAAAATTCTTAGCTTTTTAAGTGGAATAGATTTTTTGAATAATTAACCTTTATTAAACCAGATCTCATTGAGATTTAAAATCTTTTTCAAAAGAGACCTGGCCAAAATAGCAATAGTATATTAACAGAGCGGAGCTACAGACTTACAGATACGAACACCAGATAAACTAAATAACTCGAAAAGTTGAGCCAGGTTCCATTGGCTAATAGGACTGCAAAGTTAGCTGCACGACTAACTGAGCTAACTAGCTAATGGTAGCTAGCAGCAGAATAACCTGATATGTTGCCCACTATTTTTTTGGAGTATGATTTCAACAGGTAGCGTACATATAGCCCCGTGAGCTACAACTGAGTGCATACTTTACTTAATTATTCCCATGTTATGCTACTACATAACTAAATATCAAATGGAAATAGTGTAGGCCTACTTTTAACTTCACTCCATTTATCTGACAGCTGTAGTAACAAACTGCGATTTTATATGCAAAATGATCAACTTAAAAAATGTGACGCAACACTGCAGCCCCACACAGGGGGTTTCAGTTAGGACATAGAGTTAGACCTACACAGGATGGAGATGTTTAACTTATGCTGGGATTTACGTGAGGTCACCATGTACTAGTAAGAATGATAAAGTTGTAACCTGTCTCGCAACAAAACTCACAGCTTCAAGAGACCTTGATGTCCAGAATTATTATTTTTTATCTCCTTGCACAAGATCATTTTGCACACAAATGAATATCTCGTGCGGATAAGATAAAAAAAATATTAAACTTTCAGGGCCATGGGGGCTCTGTACACTGAAAGTGCCCTTCTGTGTAATGTGTTCTTTTACTTTTTATATTTTAAGTAGGCTACATCATACTATGTACTTTCACTCAAGTAGAACTGTAGTATAGCTACTTTTATTAAAAGCATCTAAATACTTGTCTACCACTTTAAGTAGGCTTTACACTGTATGCCAAAACCAACAGACTTAGGAACAGTTTCTTCCCACAAGCCATCACTCTGATGAACAGCTGATTTCTGACTCATGGTGTCTGGAACAATTCCTGTGCAATAACCCAGTAACTCTGCCTCTAATCAGCACCTGTTTACTGGCTAACACTTCTTATTTATTCACCATTCTCTATTTCAGTGCTGTTCATACTGTTATATTGTCATATTGTAGATACCAAATCCACCTCAAGTCATAACTCCTGCACACAATACTTATTTAATCCAGCATCCTTTGCACTATGCTTCATTGGACTATGTACATGTGTACATGTATGCATGTATATGTACTTGTATATCACATCCACCTCTGACATTTACATACTCCTGCATCCTTTGCACTCTGCTCACTGCACTATATATCAACATGTCTATATTGTTTTTGTTCATAGTGTGTATACTTGTGTTGTCTACACTGAAGTCTGTGTCTGACTTTATTTTATTCTTATTATTGTGATTTTGTATTTTTGTATTAGTAAGCACATCGTGAGCAATGTACAATCCTGAGTCCAATTCCTCGTATGTGTACACATACCTGGCAATAAAGCTGGTTCTGATTCTGATTCTTTGGTGATAAGGATTCTTTACTATTCTAATGCCAGGGAAACATATCCTTACTACAAGCAGGATGAGTGCGACTTGGTCCATCCTGACCATGATCCTGACAGGAGACAGGAGCCAGGAGCCAGGAGCCAGGAGCCACACCCCTTTTCAACGTCAGAGGAGGAGTACGTTATAAACCCGTTGGAAGGACTGCAGACCTCTGTTCTGTGTCCGCGGGAGCGCAGTTCTCAGCAGGAACAAAGACAGCCGTGGAGGGACTGGTGAGCGAAGTGACTGGCTGTCAGTGAGCTGTTGGTGTCCGTCCACAGCCACAGAGCTTTAAATGGGAGAAGAGAAGAGGAGTTGTCCAACACTACTCGGGTCTTCACCACACAGGCAGACGTGGAGAGTAACGTTATAGCAGCTGAAGGGTTTACGGGTCGTTCTTCAACATCTGGCACTTTCTTGTGCTTTAGCTGACGGCGAGATAAGCTGGAAGCCGCTGCCGTTTCTGCAACTAAGTTATTCACTCCGACGACTTCCAAGCGCACAGCAGTAAGGTGAGTTGTATTACAGCGAACCTTCACTCAGTAAACCAACATGCTTCTCCCACAGCTTCCAGTTCATGGAAAACTTTACCTTTAACCCCCCCCCCCCCCAGTTTTACACAACGGAAACTGACCTGAATTGTATAAAAATAATTCATAATTCAGCGACCTCGGCTAACTAATTACTTGGTATTTAATGGCGTTTTTGTTCAGCGTCAAGATTAGGGAAACTTGTTTATGGTTATTTGTGTCACTGTTTTTTTCTCCGAAGCGAAGCGAACATTAACTAGGCTAGTTTTAATAACGGTTGAGTCCACACGGTAATGTTTTGCTATTAAACATTAATAACTGTACTAAAATGATAACAATAATAATAACTAGTAGTAGTAATTATATTGTTAGTAGCAGTTGGAAGAATGTATGAAAATATAGTGAAATAAGTTGTTCCTCAGTGTTTGTGCCTATACTGCAGATCTGCAAGTGTATTGACTTCCCTTTTAATTTTGAAGACGTGAAGAACTTGTGCATGCAGCCTGTTTCTGTGCATGTGTATACAGCCCTGGAAAGGCATCTTTATAACTTGACTGCAACTGTAGTAGGCTTCTGCAAGAGAACACTTTTGCCACAGGACCTCGTGCCCTTGGTGTTGATTCAATAGAGACCCGTTTTAATGAAACAGCACGTCTTTCTCAGGAGAAGGAAACCCAATCTACCTCAGTGTGGTGCCAGCCTGACCATTAAATTACTGGAGACTGTGGAGTCCCTGCTGCCTTCCTCATGCTTACTTAGTAGCTTTCCCCAGACTTATATGAGCTGAGGTTATTTGTTAATTAAATCAGATGAGGTGTGTGTGTGTGTGTGTGTTGGGGATCCATGATTTCATTAGTGTATGTACTGTAGATGAAAAAAATAAAATAACCTCTGGGTAAAACGATTGGTCCAATGAGGTGCGTGTGTATTGGGTTGTAAATTGCCACAAATCTTAGCTAAATCCCAGGGAAACAGTAGACCAGTGTCTGATGGCTGACAAGACTGATCAGTCAAGCCTTTGAACATATTTTAAAACATACTTTTTATACCTCTGCATGCATAAAGGGTCAGAGATACTATAATTATTTATTCAACTTGATTATATTTTCTATTAGGTAGAGCAATTCTAGAGGTTCACTCATACTAAAAGGTTTAGAGTGTCACACAATGCCATGGTCTGATACGACCTCTGATCCAACAAGCCTTTGTCCAGGAATAGGCTTGTTAATGGAAACAGATATTCTATCCTTAAATGCTTGCCTTTTCATTTGAATTAAGATGTAATTGTTGTCATGGAGTCCAGAAATACATTTTGACAGAATAGTTATTCCTGTGTAAGAGCCTACAGTACGAGAGGCATCAGGCACTTGCATTCAGTTTGGGGACAATGAGCCATTATTGGCTCTGTCAACCTGAGACTGCATGTGGCTCCAGACTGCGGTGGAACTATGTTTCTCTTTATTAGCTCCTGTTTTTATTGACCGCTTTATCAGCCAGTTTGTTACCAGGCCAGAAGAAATAGTTGCTAATTCACCAGCCTTTGTTTTGGGTGAGGAGGGTACAAGTATCTAGTAAAGACTAGGGGGGTCCAACTGGTCCGTTTACTGAGTATGTGCCAGGGGAGTGACGAATTTTCAGTTTTCAACAGCACATATGTCACATAAACATTTATTTGCTCCTAACTGAATAAAATGGTATTTATTAATTTATTCAGCTTTCAAATAGTCACTAATAATGTGATAATGTACAGTATATAAATCCTAGCCTAGCCCTGAACATTTTAGGGTATTTTTTATTGTAGCAGAGCAGAACTTTACCTGGAGTGCTGTGTTGTCTGAACACGTTTAAATTAAGGCAAATTGTCCTGAATAGCCACACTTAAATGCTGTCATACAGAGAGGCGAGACACGGTGAATTGTACAAATGGGGGCTACTCTTGAGAATGGGGGGAAAAAAAGAGAGCTTGAGAGAGAAGTTGAAATCACTTTCTCTGTGCTTGACTGCTGCTGCCAGCAACCACCTGCAAAATACCCAGAGGAAATGTGTGGATCCATATAGATGCTAGTGAGAAATGCACGTGAATGACAAAAGGAGAGACTAACTGCAAGGTAGAAGAAGTCGTCAAGTTAACGCATGAGCTGGTTGACCTAGCCAGAGATTGCTCTCGCTTTATTTTAGTGGAAGCTGTTGTATTCACGCAGACTCGGCCCACTAATTGATTTCACGGCTGGTGATGTGCCGCCCAAAGGAATCTGGCGCTGAAGACAGGAAATACATGAGGAAAAACAGCAGGACCATTGACCATTAAGACATCCTGTGTTCTCTGTATAAATCTAGTAAAATCTTATATTCATGTTACATAATAAGCACTTACATTTATTGCTTAAAAGTCAGTTGCCACGTTGCTAATGGCAGGGGGAAGTCAGAGGTTGAGCTTAATGATAAATTCAGCAACATGATTCAGTTCACTTGTAGACTTACTTATTCAACAACTGTGGTGTGATGTTTTGGTCCTGGTTGCTCTAGATATGCCAGATATCACAGCTCTGGTCAGAGGATTCTCTAAAGCTCATGGGAAGTGTAGTGTTTAGTGCACTCAGAAATCTACATGCACAAAGTCAAGCTTTACCTTATACAAATTGTTTTATTTATTAGCATTTATCAAATAACAAGACCAAAGTCAATCAAGTCATGTTGTCATCTTTATAAATAATTCATTATATCATTACTAAATCACTGCTTTGTAGATGAATCAGTTCAGTAACATTGTAACATTTTAAATATAATTAAATGTTTCTAGAGCAGCAACAACAAAGTCACTACATAAATACAATTACATGTCAAATAAATCATATTCCAGACATCATAATACTAGTTCCTACTAGTTCAATAGTATACTGAGTGATGCCACCAACACTGATACTAAAGTGGTACTTATGCATTACCAGTGATGAACTTATATAATAAAGTGCAATTAATGCCAATTGTAGAATTTAAGATATGTGGTATTTGTTGGAGCCATATTGAGTTAATTTATGATATTTTGATTTATGAAATGAGAAGAAGTGTGGCTTTGTTTACTGACCTGCTCCTCCTGGATTCTGCGTCACTAAGGCACTGATAGATAGCTTTAAGTAGGTGATTGAAAGGGCCTGTGTGTGAGTTAGATGGGGAAGAGCAACAGTTTTCCGGCTGCAGCGCTTTCAGATAATAAACTTAAATTGTGTGTTGATCCTTTTATTTTTTTGTAAGCAAAGTCTACCGGAGTGTATAGAGAAGAAAACTATATTGAAGTTACTTTGAACAGACTGTATCTGCGCTCGTGCTTCATGAAGTGTATGTGTTGGCAACTCCTCACCTAACTCCAGGTGGCTTCACAGAAGATTTATTAATGACTTCAGTATTCACGGTGAAAGTATTACCATTCCTCTATATAATTAGGAAGCACTGCATCTGTTGTGAAGGTCTCACTGAGATGGGAGCGTCGGGCCTGGCCAATGAAAAACAGGAATTATAACATACTGATACACTTGCACATTTTTGCACAGAGGTATTTGATGAACAAACGGATTTGACTAAGATGTACTGAATAAACTTATTTTTAACTTTATGCAAATCAACTTAACAAAACATTCTTGAATGCCATTGCCAGAATTTAACAATTACACTGCTTTCAGTTTACACCTCTACTCATAATAGGTTGGCAAGGCTGTCCCATTTCAGTGGCTCCTCCAAATACAGTCAAGAAGCTCTGCATTTTTTTGCATTCATTTGGGGGACATGGGTATCTGTGCTCTTCAATTTGCCACAAACCACTGCACTCTGGTCACTTTTGTATATTAGTATCCAGGTTATGATTGAGTTTTTGGGCTATCCCAGTTATGTGTTTGTTCATGTAAACATCATATCCTGTTCTCACAAACCCGGATAAGCCCTTATCCTGGCTTTAGGAAGCCACATTTGCTGGCTGGTGTACTCAGATAAAGCCCAGGATACTGTTATACCTAAACAGTCAGTCAGGAAAACAAAAAATATAATGGATTTTTACTCTACAATCTGAATTGAAAATGAAAGTCTGACACCAGTAGGGCAGAGGGTAAATGTTAACTGTCGCTCCTGTCTTCCAATACTGCTGAGCATATGACAAAGGCAAATTAAATTAAGTTGCTTGGAGTTGTATCACTCTTCAAGTTAGGATTTCTGGTTAGTATTTCTGCTTGTGCAGAAGAACCACACCCCACACCAGGGGAGATCAGAAATGAAAACAGTGTTGAAAATTAGCTTAGAAAAACATTGGGCACAATTTTCAGGCTCTTGTGCAGTGCCCCATGCACTAATACAGGTGGTATTACAGGAAAAGTGGTACTGCACAAGAGCCTAAAAAACCTTTTGAATTGAATAACTGTTTTGCATGGATAGGACATGTTCTACTGAATAAAAAAACTCACATAGGCATTAATTATTCATTGAACATGTTTTATTTGAAGTCCTGACTTTGTGAATATTCTGAATATCGATGGATATTCTTTATTCAATGTAGAATTAAATACCCTCCTCTTGGTAACTTGTTCTTGCTGTGTTCTAAAGAAGATTCTAACAAGTTAGGCTGCATGGGACACACCCCTCTGGATTATGAAATATTGAAAAATATAAATACACTAAAGATTGTTATTTCATCAGCAGCAGTGTTTATAGTGAAATCATCTAAAACAATATTAGATGACTTTTGTCAGTGTACCTTGAGGTTGGGGTTCATATCCCAATATAGTTCATTAAAAGCAAAACAAGACAAGTAACCAGTAACAGAAGCCTGCATACACTGTAAAAAAGGATTCTGTGGTCATATAGATTTGAATTAATGTATTAGGTAAAATATATTCAATATGATTGTGTTTTTGATTTTGAGGCAAATATTTAATTAAATTTCAAATAAAAATGTTTGGAATAAAATCCACCCATTGTAGTTAAATAAAACATAAGCATTAAATAGCACCCAAATAGAGAGAATATTGAGTGAATTCAAATTAATGTAATCAGGCAAATTTTAATTGAAAAGCTTCCTGTCAAGAATTCCCATGATGCATGGCGGTGAAGGGAGTTTTGTTAAAATTAACTAATAAGTCTCCTATTTGTTTGAAATACAAAATGTAGAATATAGTGTTTTTTTGTTGGTAATTGTCCTTCTTGTGGTGTTTGTTTTTCTATACAGTCTATGGTTTACTATTGAAACCAGGAGTAAAGTGCCTGTTTTATTTGATAAGGCTGCACTGCTCATGACGGATGTATCAAAAGCAATTCTCTTGTATGTTCATGTCCCCTACCTAGCCGGTGGCCTGGGTCGGCTGCCCCCATGCTATCTTCCTAGATGATTAATACTCAATTATATATCATTGAGATTGAGATATATATATATATATGTGTGTGTGTGTGTGTTTATATATAATATTAGTGCTATTTATACATTAGGGAGTTTATCTTTTTCAAATCAAGTCAATATTTTTGTTTAGGTTGTAATTAATTCTGTTTTCTATTTGAATCTACTCATATTAAATGGATAACTATTAAGGGTCTCATTTAATTAATATTTACTCAATACCAAACATAGTGAAATTTAATTAATAATATTTCCTGTAATCAAGTTGTTTACTTCTAATATTTCATTTGTGAATTAGATAGTTGGACTCACTTTTTCAAGTCATTCAAAGATCAGCTCATTGATGAATAAGCCTTCACTAATAGGAAGGCTTGGTCCCAGTGCATGAGGCTGTCTGTGGTTTTAATGTAGCCTTGGGCTTCTTAACATTGTGTTCCTGTGGCTGATTAGAGCCAGGTGTCTACTCTACAAAACAAGGGTATTGAGGGCAGCCTGCTTCACTGCAGAGGACCAGCTGCTGCAATCTCAAATAATCTTGTGGGAAGGCTAGTCGTAAAGCTAAACATGCCCTCGCTGAAATTAGATGCTCTAGAGGACAAATTGTGCTGCTGTTGCTCATTTGGAAAATGAAATCTAGTCCTGCAATTATTTTATGTTGTTGTTGGCGCTAATTATAAATCATGGAAGCGGCTGAAGAGGCAGTGTTGCTGACTCATTGCTGAGTAGGACACACTGCTGTGGTTGTACTCAGTGTGATTCAAAAGCAATATTATTCCCAGCTGTGCATGAAATCAGTTCAGTTTTGTAACGGAAAAATAAAGACAGGAGAAATACAGTAAATGTTGCCTAATGGCATGGTTGTTACACTGTTTCCACCATGGTGACGTTACTCTTAACCATTTCATTTTGAAACAGTTTGTTTCAGACATTTTGGTTTTGTTTTCATGACGTGTAAAAGAGATGATGATGAAGAAATTAGCAACTGAATCCAATAAACTACGTTTCCAGAAAGTATAGGCCTCTGCATCCTGTCAGAGAGCAGCCATAACATTTGGTGGAAGACCAAATGCTGCATAGCTTCAAAGATCCTCATCATGGGACATATTAAACAGTTAAATTAAGATATTTGTTGGCGTGTGTGTGGTTTCGTTTGAGTTGGACACACCTTCGTTTGGTGTAAAACAGCAAGTCTCAGATGGGAGTGTGTGTGTGTGTTTGTGTGTGTGTGTGTGTGTGTGTGTGTGTTAGTTTTCCTGTTGGGGTTTCACATTCCCATACCCCATAAGTAAATAGCCCCAGGCTTTCTACCAGGAAGTTCTAAAACCAATCGATTGGATCTGGTGCCAAGAGCCACAAGATGGGTTGTGTTCCTGTCTCTCTCTCTCTGTACTTTTCTTTAAATTCCCTGCACATTAAATGTACAGCAAGGAATGGATTTATTTTGGGATAACTTGAATTAACTGTTGGTTCCCTTCTAAAGTTTTTCCTGAAAGAAACACGGGAGTTGTTGCGCTGAAGAACAGCACAGTCTGATCATTGGATTTATGTGACCTGGATATTTAAGTGAGTTAAGTTTGAAAAAAAAATCAAACAAAAATACCAAACATTCTCTGATTTCAGCTTATCCAATATGAAGTTACATTTCCTGTTTTATAACATTGTAAACTGAATATCCTTTTGGGTTTGGACTGTTAATCAGACTAAAAAAGACCTTTGAAGACGTCAGCTTGGGTTCTGGGAACTTGTGTTGAGCATTACCCCTATAGTTGTTGACTTTTTATACACTAAACAATGAATCGATTAATTAGGGCTGTACCCTTTCAGGACACAAATCATTCATTGTATTGGCACTTTAGGCATATGCATGTGACCTTGGCATTTTTTTCCACCTTACCTATGGCACATGAGAAATATATTATTAATGGCATACTGCGTACCTGCAGGGCAGCTGCACCACATAAACTCCTATAATGGCCTACGTGAGTCTCATGTTTTACCTGTAAGTGTCACATTTTAGTGCTTCATCTGTGATATAAAAACATTTTTCCGCACAGAGATTAAAAGTGTGCATCATAGTCCAGCTCACCATGGAGCGTCTGTCCTGCCCTCTACAGCGGGCAGAGCTGAGTAAACAGTGGAGGAGGTTGTACAGTGTCTGCTTCAAAAGAAGTTTAGCCGACTTTGCTCAAATTCAGCACCACGCAACAGAAACTCGCACTGCTCTGCGTCGGGGATATCAATTTAGAGTTTTTATTTAAAGATGCCACTGTCCTGCCTCAACTTTTTGTCCTCTCTCCTTTACCTCTCGCCCTGTCTTCAGGTTGTTACAGGATGGTGAACAGCAGGGTGGAGGCGCCCACAGTGGCAGTGATGGGCAGTGGCGGGGGGACAGCCGGCAGGTCATGCGCAGGATGTGGAGGTCGAATAGCAGACCGTTTCCTGCTTTTCTCCATGGAACGGTACTGGCACACGCAATGTCTCAAGTGCTCCTGCTGCCACGCTCAGCTGGGCGAGTACAGCAGCACCTGCTACAGCAAAGGAGGCATGATCCTCTGCAAGAACGACTACATCAGGTGAGCACTGATGTTCGTTGCAAACAGTGGGCTATAAAAACTCAAGTCAAAAAATTCAAAGCCAAAGAAAAGGAGCATATGCTTACAAGTGAGAAGCTGGAACTGGGTGATGTTAAGTGATTTTGCTTGAAAAAGTACAAAAACAATTAATCAGTTATCAGATTAGTTGCCAATTACAAAAGGCACACATACATAAGATATTGTCTGCTAGTTGCAAGACATCATGCAAGTATAATTCTCTACCATCAGGTTACTCTCAGAAACGTCATGTTTGTCATGTAATGTCATGTTTATATACTTTTATCTATTAGTCTTACTCCGCAATGTAAAATGTATTGCACCCATCATTACAGACTTCTCTTCCACATGCAACGACAGCAAGTGCACCTGATGAATACCAAAATATGACTAAATACACCATGTCTGTTTGATGCTAGCATGGTTAGCTGGTTATCTTTGTCATATGCCAAATTTTGATCAAACGATAATCTGCAGCTTGGGAGCCAAGGCAGTGCCGGTAAACAGGAGAAGGCAGTGTAAGTGAAGACCTAAGGGAAGAGAGCGCTACAGCACGATGTCCACAGTGGACAGTGGACTGCAGGAATTGAATGCAATCAATCAGAATTGGAGAAAAATGTTTACATGCTGTTGACGCCATTTTCCAAAACAGAGATCCCTGGTTAGAATTTCCTCATTTACCTCTTTTCAGCATCAAAACGTCTCTGCAGGAAGTAGATATTCTGCCTGTTGTCATTTAACTGACTCACACTGACTTTGCAAATGCATAGTCTAAATCTAGTATGCAATATTTGTCATCACTATTTTATTTCACGGGAAGTTAAGTAACTTGTTTTTAGTGAAATAAATTTTTTGTCTGTGACAGATAATCACATGGTGAGTGAAAGCAAGCACTGAAGGTTATGTTAAAACTAGAACAGTAATGGTAAACGTGTATGTGCGAGCTTGTGCCTGTGTTTTGTTCTTTGTAGACAGCGTGCCTTTTAGTGCCTATGAGGCAGATTGGTTTAACACAGATGGGGATTTTGTGGGTGCCCACGTCTCCGGGGCAAACACAGGGCTGGATGTGGAAAGCCGCAGCTGAAGGCCTGCTGAGGAGTAACTGAGACACTGCAGACTTTGTATATCAGGCCAGTAATGATACATCAGCTATTAGGACCTCTTGTGAAATAAATAAAGCTCTTACTGTATACTAAAATTACACCACAATCTGCAACAAGATACAGTGCATAGTCATGAGAGGCCGGCTGGGTTTTGAACAAATTCCTTATTTAGTCCACAAGTGAAATGGGTCTGCTATACAGATGTTTCTTCAGGTGTATATTAAAATGCTCCTGATGATGATGATAATACTCATGTGGTATTCCAGTAGTGTTCTTCCAAATTGGATGTTGATAGGTTCCTGTTGTATTTGTAACTAGCCCGAGGTTTAACCCCAAATCCCACCGTGTGGGGGGTTTATATTCCTGAGGACCCGATAGCACAGAGACAGTTGTAAAAGACGAAATCACACAACGATTTATTGACACCTTCACAAGAATGTGAGATGGTTTCTTGCTGGTAGTCTTGTGAGCGGGCAGACATGCAGCATGAGCAGAGCAGGCGGGGGAGAAACAGGTGGAACGCTGAATGGGGCAGAAAGACTGAGCTCTCTCACTGAGACCAGAACCTGATGTACTTGAGTTCTTGAGTCCTGTTCTGCTGAAGAACAGAGTTTAGAGAGCCGCACTTTATATACTGCAGGTCTTTGATTAGAAGTGCCTTTTTTAAAATTCAGTTCCGTTCTGTTGCAGCTTGCACTTCACTGCAGGTTGATTAAGGCAAACACAGTGGGATCATTTCGCTAGATTTCAGCTCCAAGTATTTCAGGAAAGTTTGATAATACCATTCATCATTTAGCATAAAATGTTGATACAGTCGCATCCTTATTATACACTATTAAGAAAGTCCAAGTACAATATCAAGTTAAACATCTGTTACCACAGCAATCATAAATGAGCTGCAAACTCTTTAGTCCGTGTTGTGTCTGTTCACTAGCCCTTAGTTTCAATTGCTCAGCATGCATTGAAGGGTGGTGTGAATTTCTAGATGTTGCCCTGCAGCTTGACTATTATTATGCTATTTGTTTATGGCAATTTGTGCTCATGTGCCAGGTTAGTACTGTTGAAATGCCACTTGCCATTAATTTATTCCGTTCCGTGGCACCAATGCAAATAAAAAGTGTAACATAAAGTGTGTATAAAAAAAGTAAGAAGTGACATGATGAGAAGACGTTTGCATTTAGTGTGGTTAACTAAAGACGCAGCATGTGTTCCGCTCTGGCCCTGTGGATCTGTCAGGTCCAATCCAACAAATTCTGAGACATAGCAAAGTTTGGAGGACCCAACTGTGTGTGTGTGTGTGTGTGTGTGTGTGTGTGTGTGTGTGTGTGTGTGAACAGGTACCTGCTCAGGTGTACTTAGATAGATAAAAGATAAAAAAAGATAAGAAATGCATTACTCGCCACTCTGCAGCCATTGAAAGACAGACCCAAACTGGTCAAGTAAGTGTCAGAGGGCATTGGTGTCATGACACACAAGAATGACAGAGGCTTCCTGTTCAAACTTCAGCCTTCTGCAGTTCAGGTGCTGACATGCTTCCAGCCTCTGATAGATGAAGATTAAGTGCTGCTGCGTGCTGCCAAATTCAAAGACCACAGATCTGACTTCTTCTGTGAGGGTTTATGTTTGTCCGCATTTGGTAAATGTTAAATGTGCTCTTTTGTTCACGGATGTTGTCCAGAGTTTATTCTGACTTTTCTCATCAAGGTCCAGATGTCAGAATGGCCGTGGTGTTTCTATTAGATGCAAATGAAATCCAGATGGCTCTGGAAATAATGCGCATGACCTCAAGATGCCACACAACAGCAAAACCACATGTCTGATGTTGCTATGGCAACACATAAAACATGGCATTCAGCAGGGAAGGTAACAGGCATTAGCTATGATGAGCTTTTACAACACTCAACGACAAAACAGCCTTGCATTGAACCAAAGGTCTGTGTTAGCATTTTGTTTCAGGCCCCGCTGAGATGGTGAAAGATCCAGGGAAGCCAGTTTGAGTAATGGATTAATGAGTCTGAAGGCTAATCACTAGCCAAAGCACTGCACAGTAGTTTTTAATTCAATAAGACAGATCTCTGGGAAGGCATGATGGTAACTGTCACACCCCCGCAGGAGCATGTCTACTCGTGCAGGGTCTCAGAAACAGCAGCACAACATCTGCGCCCACACACAAAAGCAAAAAAACACACAGCAGGGAATGTAAAAGGCTTACCTGTGACGACTGCACAGAAATGATTTCACCAAAGTCCAATTTAGTCATTTGCTCTGATGCCAGGTTTTATCTGACTGATAAAAATGATTTAACTCTCCAGCTTTGTCATGTAGGGGAAGGCCTGCCGGATGCCATTCATCTTGAGAAATATGTCACTGGGGCTTAACTTTATCTCCAGTAAGCTGCTTCATTAAGTGCTCTTGGCTCTCTTCTACATCTCCAGCTCCATCTGGACTCTGTACATCTACTAAACACTCCCAATCAGGGCACCGAGCTCTCCTTCATCCGCTGAACACATAACGACTGGACAAAAACAGTCAAATAGCATAAGACATAAAGCAGATCATTAAATTTAGAGAGCTCATCAGCCAACTTTCACCACTGTATGATAAATGCACTGTACCGACCACTCGAAGGCGACCCGCTCCACCTCTAAGCCACAGCCGTCTCACAGGATGAGATGGATAATCTGTTATTGCCGCAAGAAAAGCTGTGGACCACGGGACTAAAAAGAGTGCTGCCTGCACTTGGTGTCTATGCTAAATACCATACCTTTGCTAAAATTATACTCTATATATGAATTAACCTAATGAATTAATACAGGAGAAGCAGCTTGACTAAAGTAAGTAAAATCATTTAAGGGATTGTATCAGTATCTACGCTAAACAAAGCTCCAACACATATTCTGAGAAACTGTATCATTGGATGTTGTTAAGCCATACTTTTTATTGTGTTCTTTTAGCCAGAGTAGGAACAAAGTTATTGTTAAACTTGCCATGTGGAAGTATTGACGTCTCTCAACCCAGGACAACATAACAAGGTGCAACTTAGGAGAGCCGGCTCAGTTCAACTCACCTAGCCAAACCTTTGTCTCATGAAGTTCACAGAGGTCTGGAGAAAATACAATAAAGCCAGTGGTTCACCTTCCTAGAGTCATTTTATGTAACAAATGGATGACTGATTCCAGGAACCTTTTCAAATCTTAGCAATTTAAAGGTTACTTTTAAAGTGTAATAAAATAAATATTAAATACTATATATTAAACTGACCGTAAAAAGTCAGAGGTTTGCTTCTTTACAAAGAACAGCATCTGAGCAGCCATATTCTCAATATGTTCCAGTGGTAGTTTCATGACAATAGGGCTGCGTATACTGCCTTCTTTGGCGTATCGGGGAGTTGACGAGGGTGACGGATATGGACACCTTAACAAAAAATAAATCAGAGCTCCCTGTCAGAAACATCATTTTGTGAAATTCTTGTACATTTGGAAACAAAAACTTGTTGTGTGTCTATGTGATGTTGCTGTTGATAGTGACAGACTTGTGCCACGGTTTTATTTGCAGGCTGTTTGGACACAGTGGAGCCTGCAGTGCTTGTGGACAGTCTATACCTGCGAGTGAGATGGTGATGCGAGCACAAGGCAACGTTTACCACCTGAAGGTGAGTTTGATTATATATGATTAAGTGTCCGCTTTGACTGAGTTTGAGCATCATCGATGTAACACACAGAGTCCGCCCCCTCTCATCTTGCCGGAGTCTTTCACTCTTTCAGCTCAGAACACGGTTCGTTTCCAAGTGTTGATCCAGGATGTTGATGGAGCAGGTGTGTGTAAAGATGTGGGCAGCACAGTCTCTAAATTCCCATTGCTTGGCCAACCTGAGTCCAGTTTCGCCCAGACCTTAGCCAGGAGCTGATCTTTGATCCAAACCCTGGCTTCCTTTTCCGATGACTGACTTTTACTGACGTATTTCTGTCATAGATAACATGTGACACGTGTTTCAGCAATAAAACTGAAAAGTTTGGAGGAGCTACCAGCCGCTGCTGCCATTACCACATCATCAGGCTGTCATCAGTGAGAATATTATCATCTTGATAATAACTTGCTGATAAATAATAACACATGAAACTGTTTCTCTTTTTTTCTTAGTGTTTTACCTGTGCGACCTGCAGGAACCGCCTGGTCCCTGGAGATCGCTTTCACTACATTAATGGGACCATCTTCTGTGAACATGACCGGCCGGGAGGAGTTCTGCTCAGTGGACATCCAGCTCCCCTGCAGACCAACAGCATGATGTCTGACCAGAAGGTGAGAGGCTAGTAAGCATTTCTTTATCACCACTGTATTAATATGGCAATCGGGGATGAATGAACAGATGAGTGAATTAATAAGGTCAATCAAGTCATCATTAAACTCAATCACAATCAGTGAATGCATCCATGTCTTGGGATAAATATCTTTAAGGTTTACAAAACATTGGCTCTAATGTAATATAAAAGAAGCCATTAAACAATCATATTAATACATATTAAATTTAGTCTGTATTTTACCTTACAAAGGTTATTTCTGTACTCAGCGCTGATGCAGACATGGTACAAAGGGAAAACGGCAGACCTCAAGGGAGGAGTTTCAGTAACTTCCTGTGAGTGTCAGCCCTTAGGTCTGATGTGGTAAATAGAAGTAAAATAAGCACAAGACTTTTAACAGAAGGTGAACCCATAAAAATGACACCATACCATCTGAGAGGTCATGTTTGGAGGCATTCTGGATTTGACACCCGGATTGAAAAATCCTGGAGTTAGCTAAGGCAGTTTGCTGCTTTTAGAAATGCAACCTCACAGGAGCATTACCACGGCAATAAACCTGTTAGCTTGTCACTCGAATTAGGCAGCAGTCCCACAAATGAAGGAAACATTGTTCTACAATAGGTTTTACTGGTAACATTTACAACGTCTTCTCTCCAATGTTTCCAGGTCTGCTGAGGAAGAGGATGGAAAACCAAACATGTGCCTTCTCCCCCTCCTTTCTCCTCTGTCTCTTCCTTACCCTCCCCTACCTGTAAATCCTGCCATTGGTTGACCGCCCTCCATTCTGATGGACTGTCACTCCACAGATATTCATCACTGCTACTGGTCCAGTGCTCTGTTGGAGGGATGAGGATGGTTGGAATTTATTTATACAGTAGACTGTTGTCTAACGTGAACTGTGGCAATATTACTGATAAGAACTGGCATGGCCAGTGGGGGGTGGGGGGGTGGGGGGGGATGGAAGACTGTCATTTGTGTGATTCCAGCAGAATCATCCAGTACCTTTACCAAGCTAGCCAGTCACAGTGGGCATTGAAGAAGGAGAGAACACTGACAATGTGATTCCTGAAAGAGGTGAAATATTTCCAAAATCACACAGACTACACACGTAGTGTGACCAGTTTGAGGAAAACATCTCCTGAGTCGTCATTTCGGCTGCTGGATGTCTCCTCACACACTCTGAGAGACAGATGTACAAAAAAACATCTACATAGATACTTTTATTATTTTCTGTATAATTCTCTGCGAAATATTCAACAAACAAACATGTTAATCACGCTCTGGTGGTGAGGTTCCTACCACAGATACATGTTGCTTGAATTTTCTTTTCGCACTTTTTGTACAAAACTTTTCTCAGGCTACTTTGCAGTATTAAAGGACCATATCATTTTTTGTGTTTCTTTGTTTTTTTTTCTGTTTTTTTTTTTTTACCATTTTAACCCATTAACAACAAATAGTGGCTGGGTCCTTTATTTACCTCAATGAGAAAGAACCATGCCTTTATTTCTAATTTCCCCTGCTCCCCAGTTAATACAAAGTCAACACTTCTTCCATGTTCACCCTTTGTCTTGATAAATTCAGTATTATGTCAATTTTCACAGCACACATTACATTACTACTGCAAGAGTCATGTCAGGCCACTTATGCAAGAATCTTTACTCCTTAAAAGTCTTGTGTCCTTCCTGCTTTTAATATGAAAAAACATTGAGCATTGTTGACAATAATAATAATAATAATAATAACTAGAACTGTAAGCAGTTATAAGCAGGGTCCAAGCCTCCCGGCGCAAGCCGCCCCCCCTGGCCCCGCGAGTCGGTCCGGGCCCGCCATGATTTATAAATCACAGAGTTATAAATGAAAAGGGCTTGTGGTTACGGAGATGTGAAATGAATGTATGTCTATGGGAGTGTTATTTGATTTCCAATTAATAGCGCCACCTAGAGGCCGATTGACGCCAAATGTCACACAGGCCCTCGAGAGGGCACGCCACATAAGGTCCCCAAGTTTGGTGTAGATCGGCCATTGCAAACGTAAGATCTGATATGACATCCTGTTTTTAGCGTTTGCGCAAAAATGTCTTAGCTTATAATTCGGCCGTTTTTTGGCGGATTCCCTCTATGAACTTTCTTCAGCTTGGTGCAGAGATGGTCCGTGCGACGTTTCGTGCCGATCAGACTTGCGGCTTCGGAGGAGTTAATTAAAATAGGTTTTCCAGTTTTAAGGATTTTGCTAAATGAAACGTCATCGCACAGAGGTATATCCTATACCATTGGAATCGGCAGTATCCCCCAAACATGTAGACATAAAGTTTATGAATGTGCGATGTAGTGGCGCGTAGTGATGAGGATAAATGTCCTTTGGTTCAAAATCCCATTGAAATGAATGGGGTATTTGAGCTTCCATTATAGCGGCACCTTTAGGCCGAATTGCACAGAACTTTTCAGGTGTCATCAGGGCCCAATTTGGTATCAATCGGACTTGTGGTTATGGAGATATAAAATGCATGTAATCTGCAATAACAGCGCCACCTATGGGCATATTTGGTGCCTGTAGTAAGGGGACCATGCTGCAACAATTCGGCACTGGTTTCATGTCAGTGTGAGTTGTGGTTATAGAGGAACAATTTTTTGGGATTAAATAGCGCCACCTAGGGGCGAGTTGCACCAAATTTTGCACAGGCCCTCAGGGGGGCGTCCCACATTAATGCTCCAAATTTGCTGTCGATCGGCCATTCCAAAGCGAAGATATGACATAATTTCCTGTTTATAGCATTTTTCGCAAACATTTGCTAGCATATAATTGCAACATTTTTTGCGGGATCAAAATTTCCTCTACAAACTTTCATCAGCTTGGTCCAGAGATTATCCGTGCTAAGTTTGGTGTCGATCGGACTTCGGAGGAGTTAATTAAAATAGGTTTTTCAGTTTTCGCGATGTAGCGAAAAAAGTCTAGGCGGAAATGGGCGTGGCCTATACCACGAGATTCAGCTCGATCCCCCGACTGCATGGATATAAGGTTTTTGATCGCCTTCGTAGGCGGGAGTTCCAAGCCCAAATGCGTTGACCTGGCTTATAGTGTCCCCTAGTTAGAAGTGTGCAGATTTTTTGCGCCTAATTTACTTGCAGGGGCTTGTACCTACCCTATGAGTTTCGCGTCCCTAGCAGTTACCGTCTAGGCTGCAGTAGTGTAATTAGCGGCAGAAGAATAAAAATAATAAAAACGAGAACGATTCCAATAGGGTTACCTGCTCCGCTGGTACTGGGAACCACGATGCCTTGCAATCGCGAGTTCCCAGCCTACTCGGGCTTGGACCCCTAATAATAATAATGAACATTTCAATTAGTATGAAAACAATATTTCTGTTTACAAAAAGAAACTCAGCTCAGAGTGATGAGAATAACATGACTCTTATTGTACTGATTGAATTAGTGCTCTGGAAATGTACATTGTGTTGAATTTACCCCTGAAGCAGTTGTGGGAGGCTACAGGTAATTCTACCGGTCTCAGTGTTTTGCGACCCAGCCTTTATCTGTTTGTGCTGGCAACTATAATGTGAATACCGGCATACGCTACAGTAGTTGACATTTCAGCAAATGTCGGCATGTGTTTACATAAACTAAAATGGGGAACATGGTAGACATTAGTTGCTAAACATCAGCATGTTAAAGAAAAACTATGGTTTATAACAACTTGAATTTTATTTTTGTAGCTTTGGCCATCATTTAACACGCACTATGATAACTCCACAAAGTACTCTTGTAACACAGCAGCATGAAGCAGAGATGATCAGACAGGTTGAAAACAAACCCTTCCTTAAACTTTAAGTCGTAGGCAGTGTCCTCATTTAGGATCCTAGTGGCCTGGGGGTAGAGGCTCTTCCTAAGCCTCTCCATGCTGGCCTGGTGAATCCAATACCTTCTTCTCAACCACAGCAGAGGGTGAGATCATTAACAATTCGGCTAGCCTTATCTTACACCGCCTGGTTTAAATGTCCTTTAGGCAGGGTCGGTCACCTTCTATGAGACGTTCAGCCGTACTAACCTCTCTTTGCAGGGCCTTGCTGTCCTCTTTGGTGCTGTTTCTATACCACGCAGTGATGTTCGCTGTCAGGATGCTTTCATTATCTGTGATCAGGCCCACCACAGCTGTGTCTTCAGCAAACCTGATGATGGTGTTGGAGTTGAAAGTGGCTACACAGTCATGTGTGTACAGGAGTTCAGCAGGGGGCTCAAAACACTGCCCCTGGGAGTGGATGAGGTGTGTCTACCCACCCTCACTACTATAAAGGAATTTAGAGGTACTATGACACTGGTTTCCCCAGGTCATGTGAGGGTCAGTTGCTGAATTAAAGAAAGCCAAAGGTGACAGCCTGTGACTTTCCAGAACAGTAGGTCAGACTCTGCCTCTCCTATCTGCCTGCTTGGTCCACTGACTGACACAGTTGTCTTGATAAGGATGCACTGTTTTCCATTTGTTAGGTAACCCAAGATCCAGATTATCTTTGTTTTGTTTCATTACAGACAGACTGACTGGCTCTATGTAGAGAGTGTTGAATGGCACATGTGGCGTGTAGGTAAGCAGAGTCTTGTTTTAAACCAATATCCAATTGATTTTTCACACATGTAGAGTGTGGTGAACAACAACCTTGTTTGGACACATAGTGAATCTCTGTAGGTCTAGGAAGGAGAAATATAGGTTGTGGTGTTACATTATATCTGTGTGCTGTTATCAGTCTCCCAGGCCGGGCTCAATAAACAATGCTGTGAAAGTCATCAAGAGTCTCTGAGAACTTCTTTACCACACCTGACACAACCAGGAAGTCCCATGTTGTTTAATCCCAGGTCCTTGAGCTTTGTGACAAGCCTGGAAGGGACCATGGTGTTAAACACGGAACCAATGTCAATGAACAGCAGGTGAGACACGGTGGCGCAAAGGATGTGTGCTATGGCGTCCGTTGATTGGTTGGTTGGCTGTAGTGGGTCCAGTGTGCTGAATAGTGAGGAGCAGACCTTGGTCTTGGTTTCTTAGGTACAGGAATGATGGTGGACTTCTTGAAGGACATGTGCATAACAGACTGAGCCAGGGACAGGTGGAATATCATTATGAACACCAGCGCTAGTTGATCAGCATATTTTTGTTTGAGGACCAGCCCACTGATACCATCTGGTCCTGCAGCCTTTCTAGTATTCACATGCTCAGAAAGGGTGTATGCTGATAAAGGTTTTATCAGCGTACAGTGTAGCTGTGCGCTTGTGGTTTCCCTATGCAATGAGGGATTATTTGAAAAATTATGGGTGTGTTCACTTTCAGTTTTACCTCCAAATAAAATACAATTTGGATTGACCTTTAACTTGTTTACAACCTGTCCGGCTGCTGACATCACTGTGTTCTGAGACTTGGAGTACTGTATGGTATGATGAGTATAACTAATAGAGGTGTTGGCCAGAGCTATGAAAACAATACCCAAATTGAAATTTTATTTTTGCTGCATGTTAGCATGACAACCACATCCATATTTACATTTATTTCACTACTGTTTAATACCACCAACAAACTTTGGACCTCAAGTTTTATTCATATTTGAATTTAATGGATTTGGTTCTCTTTACAATGAGTATTACCACCTCATTGACTTTTTTTTTAATAGTCTATGATCATAGAGCTGCATGGCAGTGGACTCCTAATCTTGTTAGTTAATTGTTAGATATTACAGGCAAAACCACCAGCACAGTCCCTTGAGGCAGCGATGCCACTTAGAATTGATTAAAATCAGCCTTTAATGTCTCTAAATATCTGTATGAAGAAATGGACATGAAACAAAGTTTTAGAGAAAGGTTTCTAACAGTGGAGGTTCTTCAATGTATTTCATTGTTTTATATTTCCCCAAAGGTTTGTGATTCCAATCACTAAGTTGTTCTGGATTTATAATAATTTTTACACAATTAATCGGTGGAGATATACACAAGGATTCCTGACTTTTTAGGAGGGCAACTACAGGGCCAGGTAAATGCCCTCCCTCCATATGAATGGGTTTTCTTTATAGTGTATCACGATGTACCTTCTGTTCTTCTGCTCTTGATGGTAGTTCCAGACATCATGAATATGTGTAGAGTTCATACAGTGTTTGTAATTGTGTTTGGAGAAAATGTTTCTACAAGAGATTTAGCAGCAGTGATGTATACTGTACAATCTAAATGTTTATAGCAGCAGGGGTCGAGTTTTTACGGTTTAAACTGGTCACTCTAAAGTTCATAAATAAGTGAAGGAAGATTGAGAGGATATGTCCAAAGTGCACTATTATCCTGTCGTGTGCTACAGTGTATTAATCATGTTTTCTGTGTTGAAATTTGTAGGGGGGTTTTCAATCAAGAGAGACTGTGTAAAAAAAGAACTAAAATAATTTAGTCATTCAGCTGTGTCTCACATGTGATGAATGCTTGATTGTGCTGAGGATGATTTGGCTACAGCTACATCAAGTGTGTAGCAACGAGTTACAGATAGCCGCTTCAGACTGAGTAAGAAGCAAGAAACGCTTGTGGTTCTAAGACCAACATGGCTGATTACCCACAGGAATGGGATTTCAAAGGCCTGAGCTGAGGCCATTACAGAAGAAATTAAAGTAGGATGCACTGGAGGCTTGCATGGGCTTTAGCTGCACTCCAGTGTTGCAGTCTAATGAGGCCTAATCTGGTGAGCTGGTCTAATTAAAAGGGAGGGAGCTTTTTCCTGTGGGCAGTAGGCACATCCGCAGCTGTCTGAGGGGGAAAAGCAAAGTCAGATAATGCATTGTTTTCAACTATAAAAAGTGTCATATTTCTCTATTCTCTGTCCGTTCAAATTAAAACATTTAACTTGACATTTTTAACATGTTTGCTGGTCTCTGATCTTTCCGAGGTCTCTACTCTGGTTTGTCATGATTGCTTTTTGGCACAAAATGTGCCTTTTTAAATGAGCCTTTTCATATGTGGCATGGAAACTACAATATCATCTCATCCAATTTTAGGATCACTCCTTTCCCATATTGTTTGTGTGGCTTTTTACAGAGCAGAATTAAAGGCTTAAGTGAAGCACGCAGGACGGGTAGAGGCACACATGAGTAGCCAGCTGTGACTCTTCAAATTAACGGGCCTGGAAAACTCAGCGGCTCCTCTCATAGGGTTAGTCCAATTAGCTTCACATTCACAGTAACAATGAGGCTTTTAATGTTAGTGTTTCAAAGTGCTCTTTCATAATGATGGAGGGTGAACACATTCCTCTGGTTTTTCAGTCATGACTCCAAATCTGAGTGACACCAAGTTTCCTCTGAATCGACTTTAAAGTTGTCTTTGTTTGTCAGCCTGTTGCTTCAGATGAGGAGAATAAAAAATGTACTAATAATGAATACAGCTTCTACCAACACTTTAGCTTTGTGTTCAACTCAAAGGGTTGATTAACCCAAATGTCACTTACCTCTGGTGTAAATGGTAAACCACAAACTAAAAGCCAACATAAAATATACTTGCCTTTATTTAATTAAAATACATACTATCATATAGAAAAACCTGTCCTGTATGTAAATTGATATAGAGATATTTTGCCAATTTTATTAAGTAGCTGGTTACAGTAAACAATCTCAAAGTCATCTTCTCTGCACAAATGTTATTCAGGAAAATGTTGAAAATGCGAAAACCTTAGGAAATATAGTTTACAACATTTACTGACTTTTGAGAATTAGATTTTACATTTATTCATTTAGCTGACGCTTTTATCCAAAGCGACTTACAATTGCTATACATGTCAGAGGTCGCACACCTCTGGAGCAACGAGGGGTTAAGTATCTTGCTCAGGGACACGGTGTCTCACAGTGAATTCGAACCGGGGTCTCTCACACCAAAGGCAATTGTCTTAGCCACTGTTCCATTACCAGCTGATGTAGCTAGATGTGTACATAACTAGTATATTTAAGTATATTTATGTCACTTGTTTTCATTAAAACTGCTATCTTTTTAAGTGGAGCTAATTAGCAGTTTCAGGACCACACATCACTCACGTTATTGCTAGTATTTCCATAAATACCCACACGTCACATCTCCTCTTCTTTGCTCTTGCATTGTGTGCACCCTCCCCCCCCCCTTCTCTGTCCTGCCTCCTGATGTACTTCTTCCTCTTCATAGGGTTATAAAGTGTCCGTTGCACCAGGGTGCTATGGCGGACTCCTCTATCATAGCTTCCCCACAACTCTTTCGAATGTCTATTCAGCAACTGCAAGCCTCGTACATCTTTCTGTTTCGATCAGATATAAATCATTTGATCGTATCTGTTGATTGTGTGGTCCTTGCTGGTGAATTAACACCAAGGGCTTCAATTGAGGGTTCAATTGTGTGTACACTTGACAAAGAAACATCAGTTTCTCATAGTCGTTAACGTTAACTTTCACCGCCATCATGCGCCTGGAACGCTTTGAGGTTTTTCTGGAAATTATTTAACACTGAGGACACGCGTCATCACTCATCACATTGCCGGAGGACATATGCAAGTTTCATTGCATGGCGCCTTCAAGTTGTCAGATCAAAATTGTATGCACAAATGTATTATGTATTCATTGATGAACAACATTTTTAGAAGTGATGGCATTCCCATCAGCCTAAGCTGTACTTTGTGTTTAGTGCTAATTAGCATGTAACCAAATGTCACTACACTAATATGCAAACTAAGGTGAACAACTATAAAACAAACATTTCCATAGGGCGCGTGGTAGCATGGTGATGCTCAAAGTTCTTCTGTGTCGCAGTACAGCTGACGGAGGGCGTTGCCACTTGTTTGATCTGTTCATTGGTTGTCCATTATACCACTAGCATGGCTGTTAGAGCTGTTCATGTACGAATTAATCTTTTACAACAAATCTTTAAACTGAACTGACTATAGAGGGTATGTGCATCACAGAACGCAGTTACGCTGCAGAAAGACGAGCAGCAGTGTTAGCTTGAATCAGCTAAAACACAAACACCACATCTAAAATGGGAAAGAGCTGGACCACTGGTTCTTTGGTAAGTAGTAAGGATCACTGTCGAGTCCGACTGCCTTTAATTTGAGCAAATAATCACTTGTTTTACTCCTGGTTTGCTAAACGCAGCCATGCTAATGGTTAATGGTTTTGCCACTCAGTCCAGCGTGTTCCAGAAGGGGAAGTGACATCAACGCATACCCATTATACTGAATCATCATCATCATCGCTGACTAAATCAGTAGCTTTTGGTGGTGAAGCTCATCACTGGTGACTGAGAGTACTGTTGTCAGATAAGCTGTAATTCACAGTTCATTAATTCCTTTACGAAAAAGCCAGTCATAATCTGATAACTTAGTCATAAATATTAGTCTGCAGAGCTATTAACCTAATGTGCAGTGCTTGTATAGACTTGTTTTGTACTAACTGAATGTGACAGCTTGAACCAACTGACTGAATGTACCACTGGACTGAAGAGTCTGAATCAGCACTGAACATTGCAGCTGTATGGCAATACGTTCCTACTGTTGTGCCTACTGAAGCACATTTAAATGGCTTAGGGGGGAAAACTAACCTTTGATCTGAATAGAACAAGATGATTTGAAACAGCAAAGACAGTTGTGATTTCCACCTCTAAAGCAAGGATTATACTTTCCATGTCCACGAGTATGCGAGGGTCCGCGTGGCGGAAGAAATCGCCATAAACAGGGTACGCATAGAGTCTGTGCCTTAGACTGTAGAAGAAGTGTAAGAAGTGGACGTAGTCATCGTGACGTCACCTGTAGGTTTGTGGACTGTCGTTTTGAAGCTGAACTTTGGCCGACAGGGCACCACCATGTTGAGTTTTTGCAACCAGCGGCACTGGACCTGGACATGACCATATTTGGACAAGACGGTGGAGCTAATGGCCATGTGTATGGAGCTAGCTAGCTTGCTTAGATCTGTAATTCAGGTAAACTGTCATTTTAAGCAGGATGATAATTTTGTCTAGCAAACACCAGGCTTAAAACTAAATGTATTTACCAGAGAAAGTGAACAGCCACCTCCTAATATGCTTTTTCAACGGCGCTGGTTAAATATACACAGTGCCGAGGGTACGAGTCCCGCTAGCCTGATTGACAGGTCGCCATGGTAATGACTTGTTAAACAGATAATCCCGCCCTGAAACATACTCTGCTTTATAGTCTATTTTCCTCTAAATGGGACCATTATTTACTAAATGAACATCATGTTGTGTTGAAGACTTGAAACTAGCGATTGAGACCATAAAGTCATCAGGCAAGTGTTTACTGAGGTAATAAATCACGTGAGACTATTCCATTATTTGTAATGGAACCGGATTTCTTTTGGCAACCAGAAGAGTTGTCCTCTGCTGGCCGTTCAATAGAACGCAAGTTTAAGGGACTTCTACATTGGATTCATGTCTCAGACCGGAAGCTTCCTGCTTGGTCTGTGCGGACGTCCGCGTGCCTCCCGTTTTTTATGACCACGCGGACCTGTCCGACGATGCTACCAGGGCACCAACCGATCTACTGCGCATGTGTAGAACGAGTCTGCCAAGCTGACTCCAGAAAGTAGCAGGCTATAAACAGAAGTATTCTGTGTCTGTGGCTGTACATGTGCGCCTCCGCTCCAGAGTATATTCAAGCCTTAGTGGCTGTAGACTTGTTACATAACAAAGTTTGGACATGTGTTGTACTGAAACTAAATGCCTGTTAAGCACCTGACAACTCTATTACTGATGCAGCAAGAGTACTTTAAACCTGCATTATTTATTTTTTTGGGCCGCTTAGGGGCACTGCAACAAGCTGCAGACATAACATTTGTCACTTTAAATTCAAGTGAGGAAACAAGAACACAAGGGAGTGGACCTAGACACAGAGGCAAGAGTAGGATCAATTCTGTGGTTTTAAAAATAAAGAGTACACTGGTTTAAAGTTGATGCAGCCAAAGGTCCAAACCAGACCAAAAAAAGTCCTAAGGAGCATACAATAAACAAAATCCAAAAAGGCCCAATACATCAGAAAATCCTAAACACAGGTAAACACTGGGAAAGACCTGGGACACTTAATATGAAGATGAACAGACAAGGGAAGCACATGGGCTAAACACAAGACAGAAGAGGATAACTGGACACAGGTGAAACTAATTAGGTTGTGGTAGACAATTACACAGGCAGGAAAACACAAACACAGGAAGTAAAGTTACCCAAGACACATGAGGAAGTTAATGACAACATTGACATATTTTCACCTTATAAAGTTGTTGAGGTAAACAGATTAGCAAGCACTTGCCTTTTCACACAAGCAGACATCAAGACACATCATCATTTATTTGGAATTATTTTTATCCAACTGACAAATGGAAGTCTAATATTCACTCTCCTTTTAGCACCAGCTAGAGGACATATCTTATTTACTTTAGCTCCTACATGCCCCACTATGCTCACAAGCTAGTTAACTTTGTCTGCTGTTTGCTGCTGAGTAGAGGTCGGTGCTATGAAGCAAGATTTACAAGGCAACTTCACGTTTAACCTTGGGTTTTCAGGGTTACAACGGTGATTCACTTCTTAGCAGGGTACATTGCAATGGTAACTTATACAACACGCCTAACCTGCCAATAAAAACCTAACCAATAAAAAGAATACATCTAAGCAACACATTGTTTTAATCATGCCCTAATTATAGGCTAGTGACATTATAGGCCTGACTCACTCACACTTGGCAATTTCAGCAGCTGTCCTCCTGCATTCTGCAGCTGCAGCTGTGTTACTCTGGATTATGTGTTTAACAGCTTTGTATTTGTCTAATATTCTAGTTTGTCTTTAATTTGTAAAATTTACCGCTCTGCTCCCAGTTGACTGCTGCGATTCGTCATAT